ACTCACTCGCAGCACGAGGAAAAAGAAGACGAAGATAGATACAACAACAACAACAGCAACGAAGTCTGTGCCCCTTACTCCCACGAAGTCTTCGGCTCCGTCCGTCACTTAGTAGCTCCGCTCAGAAATTCCGCTCGGTCTTCATAGAATCCTTGCTCAACGCAGCGAATTTCGCGTTCCGCGGCTCTCCCTCGACGTGGAATCCGCGCTATTCGGAGTGGCGTGGAGCGAGGTGCTCACGTACCGGGAGAGGGTTCCAATTATTTGAATCTGATGCGGCGGCTCTAATTGAAAAGCGCGTGGATCGGGGCGTGAAATCTCAAACGACGCTGCGAAAGCTCCAAATTACCAATTGCGCGGCACCGCTGTTGTTCGGAAAAAGCGAAAAGCAGAAGGCATCGTCCACCTAACACTCCTCTCAATCGAGTCGAACGAGAAAACCTCATCTCGTTGCCGAGGTCAAAGGTGAGGATTCGTCGACAACGGTTGATTTCGCTCGTGGGTTCATTCGCTAATGCACTGCTCTTCGAATTCCCCCATCGGCCGTCTTTAGCATCTCTAATTGAATATGCAGATGAGACGAATTCTCGAGAGCCAAAACGACTCAAATCCACTAAGACAACACGGAAAACATCGACGACGACGAGATCAACAGAAAGAGCATCAGATGCCGCCGATTCAACAGCAGCTGAACAACAAAACCGTTTCGATACAACGAATTAACAGCGCATTCTGCACGATTGACTCGATGTGTAGAATTCGTACCGGGAGCGTTCTCTCTTGCAGAAGAATGAGACAAGGATCGGGGCGAGTTTCTGACAGCGACGATGATTGATCGTTTTTTCCATTCAATCCGGGTTGAAGATTTTTCCGACTGACTGACTGACTGAGGCCAGGATATCATCATGAGCGCTGTGATGAATTGAAGTTCGTGGTTCATCTAGTATTCACGAAACGTGATCGATACGTGCGTGAGATCAAACAAAAATCCCAGATCGAAGACCCGAGGGGAAAACGGAGTGATTGAGCCGTGTGACTGAGTCCCAGCTGCCCTAGTCATTTTCAGAGCGAGCTATTCCCTCCCCAGAAGAAACACGAGCTTCTGTGGAAGGCCTTGGAAGTCAATCGGAATGGCGCTTGGAAGCGGCAGTCATGCATCATAGACATGACACGACCATCCTGAATCCGTTTCTCGGTCTTTCCTTTCCGACGATTCTCTGAAAGTATGAATGTAGGACCGCAGGCATGTCTCGCGATGTGTTCCCATCTGCATCGGAGTGAGTCTATTCAAGCGCTTATTCCCGACTCGTCGTTGTCGAGAGTCGGTCGATTTCGAGACCTGGTACCCCCGGCTCCGAGGCGGCCAGGAATAGAACTTCCTGTCTCACCGAAACAACTCCGAAGCAAGCAAGCGGCCTGGCGCTCGCTGACTCGGTCGAGCAACCGCTGCCAGAACACAGAGTTTTTCCTCTTTCGCTCAAGTCACAACAAGTCCTCCGATGAGTTCAATGTAGCGGCGGCAGAGCTCTTCGCGGAGTTCGGGAGCTCGACTCGCAATCGGAGAATATTTCGAATTCTCCGCGTTTTGAGAGCTCCCCGAAGAACTTCTACGTTCGGCTTCACAGCTTGAGGATCGTAAAACAGAATTCGGAAAGTTGCCTTTGTTATGTCTTAAGCCGCTGTAGCTGTCCGTCGCTTTCTTAAGGGCTCCATTCACCGAGGGATTAGTTGGAAACATGCGCAACCCATCGCCGCTGTATCAAAGCGTTCCAACACTGACGTGGGAACTGAAGCTAACGGAACCGACTAAACGAGAAGCACGTCCTCTCGGAATCCATTCAGCCAGTCACTCACTCATTCAATTGGATGCCGCCAGAAGTTCGGATGAGAAGAAAAAAAGGATCCACCCTGAACGTGTCTAGTTCTCAAGTTCCCAAGCTTTTTACGACGCAGAAATAAACGATCCGGGAGTATGCCTCGGATCTCCCCCTACGCTTCGGCTTGTGTCTATACAAGTGCAAACTCGCTCGTTCCACCCTCGGCAAACAGCGGCGGCAGCGGCGACTTCGGGAAAGTCACGTCACGCGCTCGAGCGGCAGCATTCGAAAAAAGAAAATTCCGCCCCGGGAATTCAACCGTTTATATCGAGATGATGTTCATGAATACATTCTGTAGGATCTTCATGTTCTTTCAGAAAGTTATCGTTTCCCTCGCTACCGCCCGCCTCCGAGTGCTTCTGTTTAGCCGATCCGAGTGTAAGCGAAGAAGCGATTCCTACCTAGCACGACTCTGAAATTTAATGTGTCTGTTGGAGATGGCAGCACAAGTTGCTCTTGTTGAGAAGTTTACAATCGACCGACCAAGCGGCAGCCGACCGACCGACCGACTCAACGGCCCGACGATGCGAACTACGAAGATTGAGTCTTGGCCCGTTTGTCGTCAGTACGGAGATATTTGCCGACGACCGTTCACTCGTCAAGCGAGAACGGTTCGCATTTGACAATAAAGATAAAAATTAAAATGTTACTGCAAACACTGTCCCGTCCATTTGTCACACTGCTTGACGGCCGAGTGACGGACGGTTTGACAAACCCGTCGAATAATCGCTTCGAGCAAGAAAGTCAAAGAAGTTTTCCCGCTCGTGAATTTTGTCAGTTACGAATGCCTGGGAGAGGAAGAAAAAGAATGCGATCCATTCCGGAATCTCGGAGTCAAATATCCGAAACTTCGGAGATTCGATCGGGGCCGATTCCTTCCGAACGGACCTGTATCCGACTCATCTTATGCTAGCCGGAGGAAATCCTAGACGTGGGCTTAGGGACATGGATGCGAGCCGCGAGACGACCTCTGCGGTTGCCGTAGTTTCGCTTGCGATGGCAGAAGAAACGAAGCTCGCGGATTGTTCCTCTCGTTCATCACCGAGATTTCCGAGGTCCTTACGACCGATGATGGCTTCTATTGTGTGATCGTTGGTGCGCGATATTATTCTGGTCCTGATTTTCGCATTTTCCCTCAGTTGTGCATTCTTCGACAAATCGCGCCGGATTTATTCCAAAACAATCGCTGAACGCCTGAGCGGTGGTCGTTGTGCGATCCTGAACGAGTCGAAGCGGAGACATCCTTGGAACGAGGATAAGCCGACCCTCGGTTCAGCTGTCTGTCACACGGACCGACTGGGAGACGGACGAACAGACTGACCGACTGAGCTGAAAGGAAACCCATAAACAACTACAGAGAACGACATACACCGAACTCAACTCTTCTAAAGCGTGAAAATTTCCCACGCTCGATTGTGACCGCTTGTTTGCTTCTTTTGGCTTGGTCATCGTCAGTTTTATGGGAATATATTTTCTCCGTGTAGTTTAGTCGGCGAGAGTTGAGCATTAAAACAGCTATTTAAACGCTTTGACAATTACGTTCAAGAACGCCGTTGTCGACGTCGTGTTTGTTTACTGTCACCGTCTTCAACCGCAAGAACCCGTTGACCGCCGGGTAGAGTTCCCGGTGGTCGTCTGATTGAGATCCAGCTTCACGTTGGACTGGCTTGGCCGACTGGAATTTGAATCGGGGCAATCGATTAGACGGCCTGGAGCTACCAATCACCCGTGGGCTCCATTGCCGAGCCCGAGAGCAACCCCAGAGCTCCAGTCTGACGGATCTGCGTGCTCCACGGAGAGGCTGGCTCCTGGGCTACGGAGCACTGAGTTTTCGAATAAATGCCCCGAACGTAAGGCAGTGAGTAAACACACAGAGATCTGTCCGACGGGGCATTCGCCGAGCTGAGCGGTTGACCAATTCATTGCGAATACTCTGAAATTAAATGAACTCTCAGCGAGAAAAATATACGACTATCGAGCAAGTGAACAAGTGAGCGGGCAGGCAAACAAACCGCGCCGACCCGCTGGCGAACAAGCAAAAAAGCCAACCAATCAACGGAGCAGGGGGCCAATACATGTTGCTGGTGTCGCTGTTGAAGTTGTAGCTGCTCGCGGCAGTCAGTCTTGACCGTCGGAACGAATGCACTTCTGGGAGAGGCATCGAGCGAAGAACTGTCTCCCACGCATTGAAGACCAGCCAAGTGAGCGAGCTTTCGCTGGAGACTCGCCGAGCGAGCGACCGAGCCGGCAAACCAAACAAGACGACACGCACGCACGCGAGTAATGAACGCACTGTCTGCTTGAGAGGCTCCTCGAGGTGACCAACGGATCTTCAGCGACGTCACAACGAACTGCTATCCGTGGTGATAAATTACCAAGTCAGAAAAACTGACCCCGCACGACTCTCTCTCCGTCAGGAGCACGGGAAGCTCCCGATCCGAGTTCGGGGGAGTGAAAATTCCCGCTATCTCACTAAAGATGTGCGTTGGGTCTGAACCTCGGGGAGGACGAGTAGTCCTGAACTCAGAGATCCGTCGCCCCGACGCCGGGGTCCGATAGGCCCAGCTTGTCCAGCGAAAATTGCTGTTCGCTAGCTCTATCGAAAATCGGGATCCGGAGGCGAAATAATAAACTCAGGGAGGGGGGACCGTCCACAGCTCGCAGAGATTAGGTAAACTAAAAATTCCGATTGGGTTTTATTTCTCACAAGATGTGCATTCCGAGAATTACGAATGCGATACCCCAAAACGATCCTTGAGATAGATCGACACGGCGCGCGACGCATCGCCGATCGCTATGAGGGGGATGCTCTGTTTTCTTTCGTCTCAAGTTCGGATCGTTCTTCGAGTTCCGAAGTGGCCTAAGACTTCTTCGCGTCCTGCCTCGCAGGAGCAACTGTGCACGTGCAGTTTCGAGAAGCATACTGCTTTATTCTTCATGCGTTGCCCCCGGTTTTCTCCTACTGGGCGGGAGCCAGCCGAAAGAGCCCTTGTTGATGTGCTGCTAGTTGTAAAGCCAAAAGAAAAAAGAAGGCGAGCCGGTTAGCGAGTAAATAAAGTCTTTTTTTCTCACCGACGACTTCTCAACACTATCAATAAATAACTCAATCCCCTTCGTTTTCAGATTGCCGAGCGGAATGCTATTTCCCCATCGACATACAGGGTACCTACCTGCTGCAGCAGTCCAATGGCCAGAACGGCATCACCTACTCCGAAGTGGTCATCGATTCGGACTCGATACCCCCGTGGGGCCATTGCCACAAACGCCGGGGCGTGCCAGGGGTCATCTTGAGAGATCCTACGGGTGTCATGGATTGCATGAGATGCCTCCACCTCTCGGTCAAGAGCGACAACGTCATCCATATCCAGGCCGAGGGTCTTGGCAAATGCTACATCACGGAAGAGGCCGCCCGCGAAAATTGTCCCGACGGAAACAGCAAGCACAATTACGAGCTGTTCATCCTGTACCGCAAGGAACCAGCGAAGGGAGTCTTCTGCCCTTTCACCGGACGCTTCCGAGTGAATTCCTACCAGAAAGACGGACAGGAGAGCCGATGTCTCGCGCCCAGGGCGCAATTCTCGGAAGTATCAAACTGTCCACGAGGAGATCATTTCTCGGTGAAGTTCAGGAGCTGCTCGTTCCCCGATCGATGTAAGTTTCGAAAATCTGATAGGACAGTCTTCCCTTTTTCTCCTTCCCCGAATTCCTCCCCGAGCCCCTCCCCTATATTCCCCCTGGCTCTGATCTTCACCTCCACGTTCTCCAAATTGTCCGGATGTCCTGTGCGACCACCTCAGTCGTCTCGTCCGTCCGCCCGTTCGTCTGTCGATCGTCGTCGCCGTCGCCGCCGCCCAGGGCAGCGCCAACGACGACAATAGCCGAACACGAATGTTCGCCGCAACGACAACAATAAAGCAGATATATCGGAAAATGTTTTTGTTACAACAAACAGATCCATGCAGTCGTTGCGGCAAGCTGTCATGATGACGAGGAACATGTCGAGGGAAGAAAAGAAAAACGCGTTAGCCATACATACATCCAGAAAGAAAGGAACGATCGGACCAACGAAAGAAAGCAAGCCGGCTCAGCAAATTGTTGTTGAGTTCGGGTAATGTTCGGGTGGCCGAAGTCGGTCGCTTGGCCGCAGTTCGGATTGTGCCTGCTGCTTGCTCGGCTCGGTGTCGGCGCGTCACTCCGTCGATCGCAGTCATGAGCCGCAGCACCGAAAGTCGACGACGACAACAACGACGCGACCACCGAACAACCAGTCGTTAGATTCGTCAACCGGCGCAACTTTGTTTTTCCTTTTGTCGTTGACGGCGACGACGACAAAGACATGGAGATCATTTTAAAGCACCGCAACCAAACATGTCGTTGATGCCACCGCGATCTATTCGACACTTCCTCCATTCCGCTCGTTTATTCGCTGGTTTGCGGCTTCAATAAACTCGTTGAGCTGTACCATTTGGAAGATGGATTGAACAAGACGAAAGGAGTAAAGCGGATACGTCGAGTACGGGTGGCCTGTGACATACGGGGGCCGGGTCTTTGATCCGAGTTTTGGGTTCGGGTGTTTTTCTCCCGCGCGCGATTCTGCCAGTCAGCCGAAGAACGGACTTCAGCGTGGTGTTCGGTGATACGCGCGTAAACTTGTAAATCGGATCGTATCGATAAATTGATCCACGAAGATTTGTTCGAGAGAACACGTTCAGACGTCAAGCAAATCAACAACCGTCTGCGCTTTATTTACAAGCGTAATAGAATGGTGAGTCGCTGCTGCGATAATTTCTCTGACAATGCGCGCTTTGGGGTAGAATTTTCTTCTCATCGCTGTCGTCGGATCGAGAAACCCGTGCGGAATTCCTTTCTCATGCGTCTCTGATGGACAAGTCACTATCGGTCGGCTCCTCGACTGATTGCTGCGAGTGGTTCCCTTGTTGTTACGGATAGAAGAGAATCTATCCCTCCGAGCGGCTGACTGGCGATTTTCTCCGCGTGTTGAAATTTGTGTCGATGACGACAAAAGGATTTCTGTGTTCGGAACTCTGTTCTGGGATCGTTTGGTCGGAGGCGAGCGAACCGCCGTTTCGGCCGCCGCAGGGTCAGTCCCCGGACCCTGAGTTCGTCTTCGATTGGCTTTCTCCCCTTTTCGTGGCTTCTCCCATGTAGAGCGCACAGTGGACTGAAGCAACACGGTACTGTTGTCAATCGTGTTCGGAGCTGGCGATGACGGAGTGTGATGGATACGATCTGGGTCCGAGCTCGTTTTCGGAGCAGACGTACAGGAACCTTCCTTGCTTTATTTTTCCGTGCGGTACCACAACCACGTAGATTGAACGAATGCGTGAGCAATGTTCCTTGTGCCAGCCGACTCGAGTGAGCGTACGAGAGTTTTTCTCAGGTTTTTTGCTCAGTCAGACTGCTTCACGTTTCTTACGTTAGATTCCACCTACGACTTTTCTGTAAGTGAATGGTTGTCTGTCTGACTGGCGTGCTGGCTGGTTGGCAATTGAAGAAGATGGCGGAGGAAGACGACGACGACACTAGTGGCGGCGATTCTGGCATCCGCTGCGTTCTGCTCGAACGCGACGAATAATTCGCCGAGCCGGGTGGCATGAACGTGGCATTGGGGAAGAACCGCTCTTTGAGAACGCCGAAAAATTAAGGGAAAAAAGCCTCACTTCGTCCATAGTGCTACCACCTCGAAATCCCTGAGAACCCCCTCTACAATACGTATCGATCTGAGTCCTCCTTCGGACTAGTTCCATGGTATCGTGAAAGGGCGACGGAGATCAAGTGATCAGGACGGCGGGTTGGGGAATGCCACATGAGGGCGATCGTCGTTCTGAGCTTTCTTCTAAGTAAGTGATTTTTCCCTCGACAGCGGAGAAATTCATGTGTCTCGGCGACTGGGACAGCAACAACTCTGAGGATCGCTACGTGGCTCTTATGGACACGTCTCACGACGATCCGAAACGGCCGAAATATCGCTGCGGGGTAAGTTGCATATCATTTTCCTTTGTTATCATTGTCCAATTTTCGACTCGGCAATAACGAGCGTTGACCGCGAATCCGTCAATTCGGGCTCTGCTCCTTTATTCAAAGCGGCATTGTCAATTAAAGAAGAACCGATCGCGCGAGCTATGGAACAATGTACGCCGTACGCCGTTTTGAATGTCTAGCCTCTATGAAAACATCGGCCTGGACCCCCTACTAGGTTCATCGTTGGCGTCGCCGTCCAGAAAGATTTACAATATCAGTGCAATTTGAACTGGCCGACTGGCGGGGAGGCACTCGAGCGGAGTCGCCAGCCTCGGGTTGTTTGTCGAAAGAAATCAATCGTATGCATTCATTAAACGGAGGGGATCCATTTGTGTATTTATCTTTGATTCCTCCACGCAGATGTACCGGCAGGACTCGGCCACAGGTCGCGTCTACATGTCGTTGACGTCCGATAGCACCTGCAATGTCCTATCAGCCCACAACGGATACGAAACATTCATGTTGTCGCCGATGGACCAGGAGCCCCTGCCCAGCATCGTCGAGCGAGCTCAATGTGTTTTCCCCGAGTACGCACAAGGCCCGTGGGGAGATCAAGTGAACATCGACGAAGGAACCATGGTGTTGCGCGACTCCAAGAACGGTTTCTCCACGCAAACGATACGATGCGTCTTGCAGGGCTCAGATCGTTACCCAGTTCACATGATTTCGCAATGGTGAGTTTCTTCTCCGACTAGCAATCGGGTTAGCTGATTTTTGTAACTCGTTACACCGCCCGACTCCGTATCGCTCGCTCGATGAGACGTCCCGGTAGTCGTGGAATCGGTGAGCGATTCGCAGACGATCTTATTTGTAATGTCGTCCCATCTCCGAGCGAGCTACTCACGTATGTTGATGCACAAGTCCGATAACACACGAGCACCCGGTCATGGAAATCTGATCAAAAAAAATCCTCGTCGCGCCGTTCCTCTGGATGTTTCGACTCCGAAACGTGTGCGGATCGCTGTTTCCAATTTCAGACAATACGTGACTCTAACGCGAAAACCTGTTCATCTTGCAGCGGCGATGAGACGTACGCCTGCGTCAAGTTCCAGAGGAGGTCTGCGACCGTCATCGAGTTCCAATTCGGGACTTCGGAGTCGGCTCCGGTCAAGAATCTCTGCTCTGACGAGCGTTTCGCCAGCTCAGAATGGATCACTCAAGGACGTGAGTAAACTCTGAAACCTCGACATAGATAGACGATAATAGGAGTCTGCGATTCGTAGGACGCGCAATCAATCACTCGGAGATGAGAAAAATACACCGACCGCGCAAGCAAACGAGCGAGTGAGCGTCTTTTATCGTTGTCGTCGATGGATTCGAACGTGTTCTTTTCTTTTGCCGAGCGAATTTGTCGCGTCCAACGAACTGATAGGAAACTCCTGACGAGCTCTGAAACTCGCAGGTAATAGCGGCAGGTTTATTTGTGCTCGATTCGTGTTAATAAAATTTAAAGCCCGTACCCTAAGGGCTAAGGGGCTCCCACACTAGACGCCGCGGCGCACCGAAACAACGCCCCAAATACCAGACACCGACAGTCGGGCTACACATCAGGTAGTCGTCGTCGTCGTCGTCAGGTAGGCAGAACAGGAAGATAGACAGTTCGCCCCCGAGGTGCTCCACCCGGAGTACCCCAGGCGTGGATTCCCCGAGCGGTCGACGAAGATACGGATTCGATGAAACACAGAGAGAGAAACGGAGGAAAGCTCCTTGTACTTGATTGAAGTTGTCAATGACTTGTCTGGCTTAGCGAAAAATAAATCATCGCGGGCCTTCGAATTCGTACGAGTACACACTGCCGACTGTCTGTCATCCGTGTCTGATGACCGCATTTCTCTCGGGCAGACGGACGCCGACGTACTATATTATGGCTCGGACCTAAAATAATTATCGTGAGCTCGTAAAAGAGTCTCGCTATGTGTATTGTATTAAACGCATGCCATTACTGACGCTAATCACCGGCGTTTTTCCGTGGTCCGGAATCTCCGGGTTCGTGCGATTCCACCCGTCGCGTTGTTCGGCGCTGAGGCGGCTCGGACGGGCGAGCTCGCGTGAGTGACATAGCGTGGTGGTGACGATGAAGTGTGGAAATGTCAAAAGTTGAGTTGGTCACCTAATGAATCAAGAAAGAATCACATTTACGTTTTACGAGTAGGAATCCTCTTGAGCGAATCTTTTTATCTGGCGTTCATCATTCCTTTCGGTGGCACATCTCCACAAGGGAACCGCGATACGAAGTTTCTCGTCAACGGTGGCGTTCCGACGACTCCGCGTGTCGACGCGATCGTTGGTGCGGCGTTCGTCCGAGAAGACTTTCTGTTTTCCAGCGGCGATCTCCATATCAAGTATCTTTATCAACGGCGCCTCCGACAGCCTTTCGCGTTGGTCCGTCCGTCCGTCTGTCTATTTATCTATCGGTGGGCCAATAGACGAACCGACGGACAGGCGGACGGATTTCTCGTCCGTTCCCTGGTCACGGAGAACTTGTCATGCGAAACAATAGCTTACCCAGTGTCAGTGAAAAACCTCCGTGGAACTATTGACCACAAGACGTCGGGTTCACACGAGAAACTCAGTCGGCCCTTCGAAACAAACAGAGTCAACGAGTGTTCTCTTCCTGCTCGGGGTGAGCGAGCTGATTCGAAATTAGCAGCGAAGGAACCCCGCGACGATTCGCTTTATCGGAGAGAATACTGTCCCACGTCTATCTAAAATGCTCCGCGATTCATTCTGCTGTCGCTGCTGAGCCTGATTTCGTTGCGACTCTGAGCTTCTGTGTCGTTTTTCTCTCGCTAACCAGTCGGTCATTACCAAGGGAACAGAGGAGCGAGCACGCAGACAGGCAAAATAATAATTGTTAATAAAATTTGTTATTTCTCAAAGATAACTTGACTTCGGCGAGATAACATTGATCATAATGTGGGAAACTGATACCATGGACGTCTTCGGCGTCCATTCTCCGCTGTCTCCGGTGGGCTCGCAGGGTGGAACTGGTATGCGGTTTCGGGGAAGTGGACGCTCGTCGGGAACAGATGCGCTAGCGTCGAGCGCGATAAGTCCGGCAGGTCGAGGACGCGGTCGAGGGAAGTTTTCCGTAATTGGCACCGTCCATCATCGGAAGTTCACAGGGGAGGGATTAGTACGGAGGCGCGAAAAGATCGGATGCTCATTCCGTCTCGTGAGAGATTCTCCAGCTTTTTCGGGCTTGTTCTAGACGCTGTCTGAAGCCGGAAGGAAGAGCGGCTATCCCCGCAAATCATTGTTTGATGGACACTACCGATGGCCATTTGAAGTTTTTCTGTTTTCCATTTTGCATCGATGATGGTGACCAATGGTGTGGCTTTGATGCCTCGGATGGCCAGCACTCGACAACGGGAGATTGAAGCCGCATCAACGTTTCAATGTTTTCCCCGATTGTCAGAATATCACGGGACACTCTACGTCCGGTCACTGGAATCTGTAAAACTCCGTCATTCGGTTCTGTTTTCAATAAAGTTTCGTCCAAACATTGAGTCTGCCTTCCCGGAATCCTCGGTGCGCGGAACGGTTATTGTCGGTATTTATCGTTCTCGATTCTAAGGGTCGCACACAGACGATAACACTCGCCGAAAACCGTGGAACGGGCCGTCCTGGTGCGATAGCCCTGTTAGTTCGTTCCTGGAGAATTTCCCCGAGGAGGGAGAGGTTCTCCATCAACCTCCAATCCATCCGTCCGTTCCTCTATCATTGTTCGTTTCTATAACAGATGTGACCCGGTTGGAAATCTCCTGTTCGTGCTCCCAGTTTTTCACAATGAGATTTCCCGTGTCTCATAAAGGGAGTGCTTTATGTTCTTCGGTCGGTCGTTTTTCAAGGTTCGTTCTCGGAGCTGCCGCCCAGAGGAGCTATCCAACGAACTGATCGGGGAGCTCCTCGAGAATTTCAAGTATTTTTAGACGACTGGCTGGTGACATACCAGGGAACATCTATTAAAAATAAATTGGGGCTCGTCCGATAGCGGTGTAGTGAGCCTCTCAACTTATTCAGCGACGTGCGTCTGAGCAAAGCTCGCCGGAAGTCACGCTCCGAACTTGAGCCGTGGCACACATGGAGGCACGCGCCCAATGTCACCGTGAAGTTTCGGTTTGCATCCGTTGTGGTGCACGCGAAAGCTGCGGACTTTCTCCGCAGACGTGACCAAGCTCCGACTTCGCAGCGTCCGCGGCGACGGTGTCCTAGCTGAAGTTTGAATGAAAGCTAAATAGTTTAAAACACAGGTAGGCTTAATGCGACTTCTTGTCCGACCGACAAAAGAGGAATTCGGAACAAAGCTGCTATGTTTGAATCCGTGGCGAAGTCGTCGGCGACCGTGATGATGCCGGTGACCACAGCGCACCCTTCCACCGAGCGAGCGGGCGAGTGCCGAAAGCACGATAGATGCCATAAGAGCGGACAAGAGCGCAGGGTTTTGAATTCAAAGAATGATGGGCGACTTCATCTGTAGCGAGCGGCCGAGCGGGTCTTTCATGCCAACTGGACACTAACTCAAGTCGTATATTAAGTGCCTAAAGCGAAAACATCCGACCATGCAGCCACACACCCACCGGGATGCGTCGGCGACAAGGGACGTGCTCCTGTTATTGTTGCGCATTGGTCAATAAGTGGTTTGAGCGAGTCAAGGTTGAGAGGCTGCTCTAAGATGTTCCTACAGAGACAATCCCTTCAGAATTTAACACTGCTCGTGTTCTCCCTTTATCTGCATGTCTCTTGTTTTTTTTTGTTCGCTCGTCTCAGCACGTTCGGTCAAGGAGCGAAACAAGCAGCAAGGCGGAGCAAATAGCTGATTTGATCGCCTTTAATCGGTGTGAATTCTCGGAGTGCCGGCAGGCTTGAAGTAACCGTCAATGCGTCGGTCAACGTAACGTGGGAGGGTGAGGTTCTATCAAACCGATTCCGCCAATCATTCGTCAGCCTGTATTCATGAGCAAGGTTGTCAACATTTGACACATCCATTACGGTCGAAGGAGTACTCCAATGCTGGTAGGGTCGGGCCGCGTACCCTGTTTTGAAATTGGCTCCGTGTTGAATTGCCGGTCGTTGTCCTGACTGTTTTTTCTCTCAGCGTGCTTGTTCTTTCCGTCGGAAATATGACCATGAATGATGAACTGGATCGATTTCAGCCGAATTAATTCCATTCAGCGCTCCCACCCGCAGCTCAATCTAATCACGCAATCCCGAGCTTGCTTATGGGATAATCGAGCTCGTCAGAAAGGAAGATTTGTTGTCGAAAAAATTTCGGAACTGTGTCCTAAAAAATTACCTTCAATTCCAGGCAATCCAGCCATGCAGCAGAGCCAGAGCGGCGGATGTCCAATCGTTGGTGACTACACTGGAAGCATTCCAGGAGCTATTGGCTTGTGTGCGAGAATAGCTTCAGACTGTAACAACCCGGATATCATGTTCTACACCGTGTATAATTGTGAAAATTCAACCCACATCTACGAAGGTAAGCACCAGAACCTGAAGAGCTTCTTAGGAGGATCGCGAGACAATTTGTCCTAGAGTCTGCACGGGGAACCAATTATCAGAATTGTGGTCATTTTCAATTCCTTTCTCTACTGTCTAAAGCCGAAGACTCGGATTCCCGCCGCCCGATCCATTCGAAACCGTCTCAGAAAACTACTCGGCAGCTCGAGGATCTCCTTGAGTGGAGATTCGACTTTATTGACACTTGGCAGTTTGCCTTTGACGCCGATCCCCCAAAAGTAGATCGCGCCATTGAAATGTTGGAAACCAGACACCGCCAGACGAGGTTGCACTCTGCTTCTTTCTTTCTATTTCTATCGCGCGGGCGGCTTTCATCCAACGGCGTTAATCTTCGCCCGACCTCACTCGGCTACATGAGTGGTGGCTGGCCCGCTTAGGAAAATCGGGGGATTTTCTGGTGTGGAGAGAGAGGGTCCGAGGTCCGATACATTCAGCCTGTCCCACCTTGTCGATTTTCGACAGCACTGGGCTTCAGGCACAATGGTGGGTAGATGCAGCAATCCGTGTGTTCCATCGAAAGTGTTCGCGAAATACTACGCGCCCGACCGGCGGTCGTTCCACTCTCCGTGTTTCTGTCGTCTTCGTGTATGTGAACTGGAAGTCATTAGGATTTTTTGCGAGACGAGAATCGAAGCGCTCCACTATGACGTTTACCGCTTACGTGTTCCGACGTTAGAGAAGATGTTAAAAAGTTTTTGGCCTGTCCATCCATCCGGTCCACTACTATGTAGTCGACGGGTCGAGCGACTGTCATTCCGCGGGATCTCTCAGAAGCGAGATGGCTGTTGCTTGCCCAACCTAAAAAGCTAGCGGAAAAGAGAAGCCTCCCGTCTATCTGACTCTCAGTCAGTCAGCCAGCCAGCCAGACAGTCAGTCAGTCAGAGAACCTATTCGCCCACTTGACTTCGGTCGCATAAGCTTCACGAGGTTTTTTGCGAAGCCCCTGAAGTTGTCGATTGCTAGTGGACGAATACGCCAGTCAGTCAGTCAGTCACTAGCTCTCTCAGCCAGTAAGTCAGTCGGTCGGTCACCGCGTTCGTCGGCTCCCGCCGTCTCATCGTCGTACAAGCAATCGTGGTAGAATAACGTGCTTCGTCGGTGACCATCGTTTTTTCAAAGTTTTTTGTTGACAAGTGACGGACGTTTGCCCAACACGTTCACTGACTGGCCGGCCGACGAAACTACGGTGGCATACTCGCCGGCTACGCTTTCAACGGTGACGACGACAGCGACAACTTCGGCTCAGACAGCATGAGCTAAGCACAAAAACACGCAAAACAAATCACGTGCTGTGACGTGATTCGGTCGCCTCTCGAGACTTCGTGAAGGCGGCTTCTCATTTCTGCCCGAACTCAATGTTGTCCGTCGAACTTCAGTCAACTGTAAACTCTACTCGACTGCAGTAGTTGACTCCATCCATCAGTTTATTCATCCGTCCGACAGAGCCCCCGTAGCTTATTTGCTCGCTCCGTACCGTAGGTCTACCACCAGCTCACCTGTTGTGCTGTTTGCGCTCAGCTGCGGCCAGTATCCAGTTTAGTGATGGGGTATCAGAATCGACGATTTGAATGGATACGAGACCACGATCCACGAGAAAGAGTCTAGGATTCTGGCGGAATTCCGTTTGTCACAGATCGGGGAATTAGCAGTCGGAGGAATGCGTGATCCGTAGTCGCTTGGACCTCGCATTATGAAAAAGCAATCCAGATGAAAGATCGCTGAGAGAGCTCGAATAAGAAAGTACCTTAACTTACAGAACGCGAGTACAACTGCCTCGGCAACTGGGACGAAGACGGTATCACCTACTCGTTCACCCACCGTCGAGATGTCCACGAGTTCCAATGTTTCGTAAGTATCAGATGTCCATTAATCTTCGCGAAACTGCAGTACCCGAAGAGGGAGAGCTGCTCCATACTCGCTGCACTACTAGCGAGCGAAGTCGATCTTGTGGAATACGAGACCGAGATACCGGCGAGCAGGGTGAAAAATACGCTCGGTTATTCGATGGATATCGCTGTAAAAACAAACATATCGTCTGCAGTCTCACATTTCAATCTCGTCAGTCAGAATAAAAACATTTCACCAGCGTACGCTCCATTCAGCGAGCACACATATCGGTCGAGTGTAGCCGAGCTTTCATTCATGGATCCGACCATACATTCATTCATCTTCCCATCGTGGTCTATCGTTGTTGTGTCTGCGGTTCGTCGTTGGTTACCGACGGTGCCTCTCGACTACAGACATAGTTTACGCTGATAGCCGGCTAATTCAATGACCGAACGGGAGCGTGTAGAAACAAGGGAGCATCGAATCGTCGTCTGAAAGCAAAACGTTCGTTCCCCCTCAGTACGGACGGGGAGCCCGCTTGGACCGTAGAAAAATTGAAGCGAAATCCAGGTGTGATCCACATGTCATGACGAGAGAGGATTAAGCGTTCAGGGAGTCGATAGAACCTCTAATGGGCATACCCCACGCCGCTGGCCTGCGGCCGTCGACGTTCCACCCCGTAAAGACGGATACGTCGAGGGTGCTTCACAAACTCGCTCCGCCAGGACTTCTAATCGCATGAGAGAACCGAAATCCGGTTTCCGTTCGAACTATGACGAACTCCCTCGCGTTCCCACAGAAATGTTTGGGGTTCGACTGCCTGCGTAGCCGACTGCCTCCCACCGGCGATGCAGACGGTAAGCGTCGACGGCAACGAAACCGTCGGTCGCCGTAGAAACGTCAACGTAACATGGAAGCTAGGATTCATTCGCTCGGTCCGCTTGACGTTGGCAGTGACTGATCGTCTCAATGGATAAGTTTCTCATGAATGTGTCGATCACTGCTGAGTCTCTGCCGTTCGGCAAAGCGCCTCGTGAGCCGATGAACCGGCGGCGGATTCGTCGCGGACGGAATTCTACGAGTTCCCCAGCGCGGAACAGATATTCCGCGTCTTCTCTTTCTACCGAGACTCTCCTGCCGTAGAGATGAGCTCCGGAATGAGCTCACGCTGCCACCTTGCGCGAAACCGCGGGTAGGCATAATTCTACGAAACGTAGGCGACAACTACGTCTACGACGTGAGTCGAGTCAGATAGATGACCAGACACAGGGTTCTGTCGAGGGAAGAGCGATCGGACACACGGATGGATAGAATGTCTGTTTGACATAGAGAGACGAGAAGAATGACGGTTGTGGTGGTGGTGGCGGCAGCGTCGAAACGAAGGAGGAGTACGAGGTAGAGGAGGCACCCTTCTTCCTGCGCCTCCACATGGCCGCTTCTCCTATGACGCTCGGTACTTTCTCGTATGTTTACTCGAACGTATTCAAAGCGCTGATCATTTACAGCTCCCATGCCTCTCATCAGACTGACTGAGTAAGTGCGGGCGGACGGGCGGTCGAGCAAGCGTCTTCTGGGCGAACAGCAGCAACAAACTGTCGCTCCATTCACCACCAACGCTATTTATGCGACGAGTAGACCGAGCAGCCGAACTTTACTACCGACGTCATCGGTTCCATAACCACGAGAATTGCCGCGGGGTTCCGTTTTGTTGCGGAACAATAATTTCCGGTGCGGATTCGTTTTTATGTGGCATTTTTTCCCCGGTGGCGACGCTACGTCGACGACGGTCTATCGCTTAGAAGTACGATCACTTGTTAGTGGCGATATTCGAATCGCTTCGGAAGTGGCTCTGAATTGTTTCGGCAATTATTGCAATCGTGTCAGATTTTAGTCAGATCGTATGCTGCCCTCCCGATGTTGTTGTTGTTGTTGGTTGCCCTAATCCCTCATTTGAGCTTCGTGCGAACAAGCCGGCCGCTCGGCGGTATCGGTGATCAAATTAGGGAGAATCGATGGATTGAGATCTCAGTCAGTCAAGCTGCTCGTATTGGTGATCGCGGCGGCGGTGGTGGTGGCAGCAGCAGCATCGGCGGCCCCTGACCCGCGGCTATCTCGCCTGGACCTGCTCTCATCATCCCGATCAGACGATTATGATGATCTGACAATTTGCGGGCGCTATCGATCTTTCACTGTCTATGAGTTTGTCTACGAAATGTGCCAACGGTGCCGGGCGAGATATCCGGTGAGGGCAGCAGGTGAGAGATCGCGGAACTCGAGGCTTCACCAAGCCGAGCTGTTGCTGCCTTCACCGCTGTTGCCGCGTCAATATGGAATGACGTTCTCCGTCCGCTGCCGGCGACCATATCAATCCACACTGTCCGGGGCATGCATTAAAGGAGCAAAGCGCACCGAGGAGCTTATTGCTTTCGATTTGTGGACTGAGGCCGACGTTCGTCCGCTCCTTACCTTTTGAGAGGCTTGCAAAACGGTCAAGTACACAAAACAAATTGAAGTCGTGATGAGTATCGCTCTGGCTTTCGGCTCGCTTAGATCGCTTGGCTGGGTATATTGGAAAGCCCCGCTCAAACGGAACACCATCGGTCCGGCATGCTCGAGTCGATCGGTTGTTGATCCGACCTCTTCGCTGGAGACGTATGAATGTTTTTTTTCTGTCCCCCTCGTCGGACTCAAGCGCGTACGACCGCGCCCAGCCCATAGCGCACCGAGTTTTCCTCTCCGCCAATCAGGGCGCCGAAAGAATGACCGCAGCCGATATCATTAGATTGAATCATATAATTTTGTTGAGAATCGTTGCTTTTGTGTTCTGGAGCCTGCCGTGGCCTGTCGTCGCTTTTCGAACGCAACCGCTTCGAAGGCTGCGTTACGCGATTGCTGATGAAGACGTGGCCGGCAAGTGTTATCTGCGACGAGTTCATTATTATTTGTCGACTTGGCGCACCATTTTTTTCAACGGCTTCGAAACAAAAAGTTGATCGATTTCGGTCTCCCAAAACAGCAGATATCCAGTTGTCGTTTTGTTTCTGCTTGAAATGATGATGAAGATTATGAAGCTGCTCGAAGCGGGGGGAGACAAAGCGATGGAAGGAGAAAATTAGTTGTTCGGTCGCTCTGAAAGCTCGACGCTTTTGCCCTGCCCTCTACGTTTCGACGCTTCGATTCCGAGCTCCACGAGAACAGGCGGTACTCGACCGGGGAGATATAAGATGAGATAGAGCGAAAATCGCGCGGGGATAAAACGAGAGCCCGATCGCTCTCCTCGGGACGGTCACGTTCTAGGTTCCGTCCACCCTCGTGAGCTGAGTCCTGGAATTCCGAACATCTCCCAGCGCCGGCGATGGGAGTCCTTCATTCGGGCCAGATTGAAGCGTCCCGAGTCCGCGCGGATGCCACGAGAGATCAGTCGTGGTAACAGCGGTCGATGGCGAGATGTTCGAATGAATGAATGTTCGAGTGAATGAATGAAGTCCACTAAGGAGAGGGGGAACGCTCCCCTCGTGCCGCTCTTCTTTCGTGCCGTTCGAGATGGGAGATTACAACGAAGATTGATCGGCTGTTAATGATATTTCTAATGGCGTCCTTCTTCCCCGATGCTTTTCCTCTCTTGGATAGAAAAACGAAGACACTCAAAAACTTCAATTAACTCAAGACGAAACAGAAGAGGAAGCCTCTTGACTGGCGCGATCGAGCTCTGCTTTGGTTTGCCACGCGGGTCGGTCGGTCGAAGCGACCACGGTACGGACATACGGACGGACGACGGACTGTCGGTACGTTCGTTCGTTGGCCGACCCGCTTGCTCTTGGTCGATATGGCTTAGTGAACGTCAGTACCGCACCTCCTTAATCGCGGAGCGCATTCCTCATTTTGGCGTCAGTCCGCTTCGCCGAAGCGAGCGAGCCGGCGAACGGCAAACTGCCTTAAGCGAGTCGAAAGGACAAGCCGAGCTGAAAACTCCGCTAGGAGTCAAACTGTGGAGGATTTTCGATCGAACGGGGTCGACAATCGGAACGCAAAACAGGATTTGATCAAATTACGGCGAATCGAAGTTCCTGGTCGTCGGCTAGCCGAGCGGTTATATAAGCGCTCAGAGGGATCCCCGACCGACAGACAGCAAACGCGATGGTGATGAGGATAATGCCGATGATGATGAACGCGTCGACCACCCTCGTACTTCCTTCAGATGTTTCGGCCAGATCCTGTTGTTTTCTGTACGTGCGTTGAAGCGTCGGTAATATCCTCGACGCCGCTCTGACCGAGAATAAATCGAAGATGTCGACCACGAAGACGATTCGAACGACCTCCGATGAGCATGATCCGCATCCACAAAAGAGCAATAAAGAACGCATGGAACTTATGCTTAAATCCTCTACGCGTATCCTGGAAGAGCTCGAATCAAAAAGCACTCACCGGGAAGTTCGGAACCCACCCGGGACGAGTGAGTAAATTGCCCCAGAGGGGCGAGCCGAGAGACCGAAATCAATCAACGGATACGATTGGCTCCTCAGAAATTCCCTTTCGCCAGCCTTGACTCTGTAGCGGTCGAGATACATTTGGGCCGGAGCATCGCGGCGGGAGAAGGAGTGAGATGAGTAAGGTGTTCAGAAAAGCCTCAAAAGTGACAAATGGCCTGCAACAGCACTTCTCTCGATTGGAAGGCCAGTGTTCTATCTTTGTCTTGGATCTATCTCGTTATTTTTGGCTTTTTGTGATGATCGTGTCGGCGGCAACGGCCTCGTAGTCGACGTCGTCGTCGTTGTTGCCGCCACCGCCGCCGCGATCGACGTCGGCACCGCCTTGAGGTGAAGCTTGCTCCGTACTTAAAGAAAACGAGAGCCCGGAGAAGAAGAAAGAACAGGCACAAGAAAAAGACGCTGTTTCCATCCACGCTGCTCCCAATCGATGTGGTCTACCGACTCGGAGATATTTATCGCGTTCTCGGCACGAGGAATTCGAAATTTCTCGTCTTTGGCGCAGGTCGCCGTCGTTGTGAACCGCTCGGTCGCACCGACGTCGGTCGGTAGGTCGCTCGATCTCGATACAGATCCTCGACGACGATGGTGTCGACGACGATGTCGACGCTGTTCTTAAATACACCCAGCTCGATCCCAGTCTCCGCTTCGAATTTCGAATGCTCTTCCGATGCGCTTTGTTTTCGCACAGCAGCCAACCGACTACGGCCGATGGGGACGCACCGAAAATGATCGATATTGGGTGCGTGGGTTTGCCAGACATTTTTCTGAGATGTCCGGCAAAGATCATCTGGGTTCCTCGTCGGCCATTGTCTGACAGGTGGCTCCCTTGTCGTCATTAGCGGTGGGGATGTGCGCGTTGTTGCACCGATGCGGCTGATCTTCTGTCCGTCCGAACAGAGACAAAGATCATAGCTCACGGGATTTGAGCGCATGCGGGCCGACTCGCGCCAACCGTGGGATGATCCGAGACTGAATCCTTCGACGTCGCGCTGGCTCTTCCTTAGAGTGACTGACTGACTGACTGGATGAATGAGTGGAGGGCCAGATGAATGACGAATGAATGGCTCACTGGCTGCTTGTCGAGTGGACAGACATAAAGAGTTCTGTCAGAAGTAGCCGACTCGATCAGCGCCGAAACGAAAGCGAATTTGTCGACTTAATTGACACCGCTGCGTCGCTGTCATTGTGGACGTCGACTTCTTCGCGAGGTGCTCTCAGATGGTGAAATTATATGGGTGGGAGAGAGATTGCGCTGTCTTTTCGAATTAAGTGCTTTGTTTTCTAGAAAGTCTTTGCAATTATTCATCTAGAAGATTGCCGCTGACGGCCGGTGCAAGTCGGTCGTCCTGTCGAAAGGCTATGACTTGACCGTTCGTCATTTCGTTCCTTCGTTCGCTTATTCATTGTTGGATCCAGCCGTCGCTCAGCCGAGCCGAGCGCAAACGACAGCGAAATCTGAAGGATCCCGACGACGGGACGAAGCCTGTCAGCTCGAGCTTCTCCGCTCTTCAAAGTTAGGCGGTCTCGTACGGCGACGACGCAACGCTCCTCTGGGTCCAATGAGGGAATCCCATTGATTTGCCGAAATTCTTCGTCCCCCACCTCAGAAGAACGTTGCGGATCCCCATGAATCGAGGATCAAAAAAACTCATCAAGAGGACGACTGATGAGATGAGCGGAAGGGGATCTAATGCCCAATACTGGCTCCCATGGACCGGTCAAGCAATTCGACTTCACGTTCTAAGAAATTCAACGCTGCCGCATCATCCATCAGGATTCGCGGTCCATCATAAATATTCCAAGCGGCCAACCACACCGCTCGTTAAAGGGGAAGCGTTTGGGAACGTCGAGGGCGCAATCAAAACTGTAAAGTGTTTATATTTTCGCTCGTTTCCAAAATAATCTGTTTTTCCACCAAACACGTCCCACAGCTCGCATGCGCGAGCCGCTGGAGACTCCCGGCGGGGAACTCTACGAGTCCGAAATTTCCTTTGAAATGCCTCCTGCATCAAGGGCGGCGCGCGCCACCGCGACGTTTTTTTCCCGCCAGAGTCTCGAAGACTTTCGACAAGAAAGCAGCTTAAAAACACAAAAACGTCCAGTTTCTTGAAATGATCTCAAGTCATTCTCGTTCAATGAACGAATGTTTTCGCCGACCGCTGATTAGCATAATGCTCCTTCAAATGATGCTGGCTGGCTAGCGGCACCCGACCGTACTTCTGGTCGGGCAGTCAGTTAGTGAGTGAGTCGGTTAACTCTCTCGCAGGGTCAGATGGCCTTCCACACGAACAAAGAACAAGTTCACAGCAGAAAGCTGTCGTAAGAGACGACCATCATCTATCCAACCCCACCCAGTTATCGTTTGGTGGTTATGATGTCGCTTGTTCGCTCGCTCGCTCGCCCGCTCACTGGCTGGCTGGCTGGGTCTTCGATGTGGTGGTGGCGGCGGCAGCAGGAACAATTTCTAACACGACATCTTCAAGAAGCGATAGGAGCGCCATGCGGGTACTTCACGATCCTTCGAAATTGTCTTCCAGCTCGGTGCCGATCGTACATGCTTTCGAGTCGCATCGACCGATATCGTGGAACAAATTGCCTGCATGAGCCCAACCACATCAATTTGCGAATCATCGCATCGAACATACGGCGGATAATGGCAGAATGAAATCTCTTGTTGTCCAATCTGCTCATATCGCTTGACGGGAGGATTTTGGAATTTCGTAATCTCTGACCGCCGCTCAGCCTTCCCATAAAACACATCTTGTCACTTGCTCGCCGACGTCACTTGAACGGCACGGCTGACATCGGACAGGGCTTTCGAGAGCGGTACCTGAATACGCTGTTGTAAATACATGAGTACCAACGTATTCGATGAATGAAGTGAGAGACAACAGCCTCGGCAGACGAATTACGGCCAGTATTGAAGCAATATCTACTGAGGAGCTCCTGTATCGAGCACCTGGCCCATAGGTACTATCGTTGCTAGAACAGCTACTGCTGCCGCCGCTCTTTCTATCCCCGTCCGTGTTTTCTGCGGTTATCGCCGCAGTTTAGGGACAGATGCCACGACCATATCAACGGTAGCAACGGTAGCGATGCTGGAGTCGACATTCTCATCTACTGCAACGGCGATAACAATCGACACTGATTTTCGATCTGAAAATCCTGTGCCTCAAACGCGACTCGAGAGCACAAGTCTGAAGTCTAAGATATCTTGTTGACGAGTCACGGGATCGTCCAGGGAACCCTGGAAAGATCTCACGACGGAAGTCCATGCTGTCTAACGAGCTGGTGGGCCTGTTTTCCCGACTCGCCCGCTGCCATGCTTGGAGTCAGGGCCTCTCTCGGTACTGCAGCAGTGTTCCGTGGCTCTGTCTGGATACCGAGCAACAGTTGGCTTGGTCTGATTGCCTCAGTCAGTCAGCAAGTCATCTTTCCCGTCTCGCCTCCGCTGGTAGCGTGTCAGCCTTTGTCCTAGACTTTGTTCATTTATTGCCCGACGTCGACGGAATCAGTGTTGCATGCTCTCGGCTCTTGTCTCATCTTCAGCGGCTAGCAGATCGCTTCTGCTGCCATCTACAAAGTTTATGACACCAACTCTCATAGAAGCCTCACTTGACGTCCGAGCCAGCCAGCCAGCTGAAAGCAGAGGGTGCATGAGCGAGCCGGACAGAAGCTACCTAGGAGATTATGGCTAGCGTCGAATGCGTTTCTCTTCTCGGAGCAAGTGGTCTAAGCAATGATTCTCTTCTTTACAGTCCGGCAAGATAATTCGCGGGGGAGAGGAAGCGTACATTCGAGAAGCCGGCGAAAGCTGCAGCCGCGGTGAAGATCCCTTCATTTTCGGCATGAGGGTCACTCGATATTCGACGTGCTCAAATATACTCTCGCACCTCGGTCCGGCGCTACAACCGGCGTCCAAGCCGAACTCACCCAGGAATCGCCTCCAGAAACCGGCCTTCCACCAGCCGTCCACCGAAAAACCGTTCCATGACAGCACGGACCCGTACTGGTACCGACCCGTCTCCACGAAACCCTGGAAACGAATCGAAACGCATCCCATCGACTCCGATCACGTGAACGAAATTCCTTCGGCAGCAGGCCAGCTCGTCCGCCTGAACTCGTGTCTGCTTATGTTGACCGCAGTGATCGTTTCGAAGCGTTTCCTATGAGGACTTGTCAATTTTGTCTCTCGCCGTGAGAATCATTGGGGTACCAAAACGATTGAATATCGATGTTCAATTCGTCATTTCGAGAATCGTCGCACCCAAGATTCGTTGTCGAGTTCGGATGGAATCGAACAGCTTCGAGAAAGAAATTCAACCTACCTTCCTAAATGCCTGAGTTTCGAGCTGGGAACCTAGTCTGAGACAATGTGAACGTGACGGAAAGACTCACAATCTTCGCCGGAAATGACCTATAATGTTTGATCTCGTTGTACACATAGACAACTCCTTCCATGTGGAAGGGACTTTACTATAATATATTGTACATAAGCAGAAACAAAGATTGGACAGTGTTGATGCGTGTCCGCATGGAGAATTTCGACAGAATGAATGGATGAACGGACGAATGACTGAAGAGATGAATGAATGGGATCGGCGACAGAATGACTCAGCGAGTGGAATAGTCGTCGATCCGGGAGACTGAAGACGGAGGAACATGAGATCAATCACTGTAAACTCTCTTCCTATGGACGCTATCCCGGTCGTCCGACGCCAACATCGACTCTGAACAAGCGGGGATATAGAAATCATTCTAATCTAGAATTCAATGAGAGTGAACCTGCCGGAGTATTTATCCTATCAGCACTATACATTCTGATGCACGATTATGTCAAGCCTAATATAACGATTGCTACTTTAATTTATCCCCAGCATTTGACAATGTTTTCGAACGACTCCAGTTTGTAGATAGTTCGAGTCAGTTGACATGCAGTTGATGAATGTAGAGGAAGGAATTCATCGGATAGAGGCCAATGAGCACATATGAGCAGAGTGTTTGAAGAGAAGAACTCGGGGACGGGCTCCGATGCATACGGGGAGCCTCGACCCCGAGACGAAGCTGCATCAGTTTCGTCGGAATCCGCGAATAGTTTCCCCTTTTCGAGTTTAAGATACAAATACACACCTTGTTTCAATCTCGTAACATCCTATCTGTACATGCATGAAGAACTAGAATGTAGAGAGAGTTTTTAATTTATTCAGAACCATGAAAGATGCAGTGGAGAATGGAATAAAAGCGGACAATCATACGTTTGAGGAAAAATTCATCTTTTGTCTGATTTGGTCTCCCATGTTTGTAGCAACACGTTATCGGATGCGGAATCGAAACACAAGTATCAACTTCGAGGCATTTTGAACGTTCAGTCAAGCGCGGCATCATACGAGTGCGTGAAGAAGAGTGAGTCTGAAGTGAAGTCTGTTCATTTCGTGACTGAGTTTCGTATTTGTTCCTCACGAGGCGGAAGCTTCAGGAGGCTCAAACCAGCGGAGAAGGAAGCCAGGTTGCTGCTGCCAGTCAAGTGAGCAGGCTGGCATGCTTGTGCACGCGGGGGCAGGTGAAGCATAAGCAGATGCTTAGCTAGGTCTGCTTGTTTTCCTTCTTCGGCAATGAAAGTTTTTCTGCCGCTTCTGCGAAGGATGACGAAGCTGAGTAGCACCACCAACGCCGCAGCACCAGCAGCGGCCAACGGAAGACTTCGTCGACGTAATAGGACAGCCGGGCTACGGTGTTGAATATCGCGACGAGCATATGCAGGCGGACAGGCAGTCAGGCAGGCTTTTCTCTTCTCTCAGATGGATCTTCCGCTCACTCCCTTCCAGTGAAATAAGCAGGCAAACGGAGCGAGCGAGCGGAGGAGGCCATTATGAGCGTCCGGTCACAGCACAGGGTCTTTTATTTTTTTCTGCTGGACTACAGGAACTTGCGGTTATCGAACAATTCTAAGGTGCGACTATCGTGGAACGGAACCGTCGACAGCGACTGCGAACGGAAATTCCGCTGAGCTGTGGTCGCAGTCGGAGACGCTTTCTGAAAAAAGGAAAAGCTATCGGATGAATTCGAAAATTTCCCTCGATCATGGTGATGCGAATGAATGCCTCAAGTTCGAGGGTAAAATCTCGCGATTCATGGAGCTTATTCGAGCCGTGAGCGATGATGTCGAGAGTGCGATAACCGTCGATGGTCAATAAACAGTGTCCGTGAGCTTTCGTGCCAGGCTTTGGATTCCTCGGCCTTTTCTCTCGGGCTTCTGGGAGCGTTTCTTCTGTGTGATGGCGTTCATTTGGAGTTCCGAGTCGGAGAGTGGGTGGCCGGATCCTGGATGGATCGAGCTCCTTTGAGCACACGAGCGGACCGAGTGGTGGACTAACAGCCGTCCGGCCGGATGTCTCCTAAGACAAAGCATGAAGACATTAGCTCGGATCGGCGCCGTAACAACACGCGGTGCTCGCTTGGCTGAGCACGACTCCTTCGGACGACGGGAGTGAGGTGAGGTGAGTTCTGCAATGCCGTTGAAGGCGAACTTGAAGCTCGCTGTCCGAGTAGTAGGCGTCGCTAGTGGTTTCCTATGGGGGGCCCTCCACAGAGTTATTGCCAAATGCTTTTATTCCTGCTCGCTCGTTCCTCGATTTTTTTCTCTTACACTTTTTCGAAGTAATAAGCTGGCCAGCACCCCAACTAACCTCGCATCGGGCCTTGTAATAAGTTACGAATTACGCGAATGTTGAGATAACGCTGTCCTCACTGCCGACGTTGTACGCATCCAGGCCAGCTGCCTAACGCGTGCCATCTGCCTGACGGGGCCATTTCAGGCAGACGTGGGGGTGTCTGGTTGCTGTTAGTCGTTACGGCGGCCCTCTTTCTTTTCATTATTTGATCGATGCTGATGTACAGCGGAAGGTACAACATCGACGGAGAGTATCGCAGCAGCTGCGGTCGCGACAAAGTGCTATCGGCACTTATGAAAATGATTTATTATACTTCCAAGGCGTCAGAGGGCTGATCGTCTCGTAGCACACCTTCAATCAGTCGTTGACGAGGATGACATTCAGGAGCATTCCGATGGAGCCCACTCACAGGTTTCGTGTTTTTTTTTAATGTTTCTCGCTTGGAAAACAGGGAACACCCCTGAGATCTTCCTCATGCCTCGGCTATGGGTCAACCCGCATTAGCCACGCCATTAACTAAAAACATAACAAAAAAAGAGGATCCAACCCAAGTGGCTTGTGATACACGGTAAGTCACGCGTACCATTCAGCGGCCACAACAAAACCAAGAAATAGTTCGCTTCTAGTCTACGACCCATAGCCTTCCGAGTTAATTCGCTCGGCCCTTGATTGGGACAAGCACAGCCTGTTTCGCATGATTGTGCGTGGTTGAAGCGACACGAAACGGTGACACCGGTGAATGGATGTCACCGACTTGATTGAATTGCCGCTGCGGTGTGCGACGACACAAAACAAGCGGAATCTTGTGCAACTTGGCGTTGTTTAGCGCTGTTTAAGCAAAGCGTACCAAAACTTCAATTAGAAGTTGCTGATTACGCAATGTGTTATGGAGACGCCGCTAGAGACGTGACTTGACTTCTGTCACGTTATTCCGGCAGCGGACATCCGGGAGCTTTGCTAGGTGTGACTGTTGAGGATCTTTTCCGCATTCATCCGACCAGCTGGTAATCGAAATGGGCTTTACATTCCACAGCCCGCAAAGAAGCGCGTTCACTCAAGACGAGCCAGAAATCATCATTACTAACACATATGATGTTTAATGTCTATACGAAGTGGAAATTTACGACCTCTTCCTTGAGCATGTAGGGGTTTGGGACGGGGAGTCTCCTTTCCCAGCGGAAATTCGCGGAAGCATGAGTTGTTGACCGTGTTCCGTCAGCAATCTCACGCATTACAGCCTCTGACTGTCCTGTCAATTCCTCCAAATCGACGAGTCGTCGCCGAACGGAACTCAGTCTAGATCGTCGCTGCTCCAAGGAATCAGACATCTCAATCGATTACGTTCGTTGGTATCGTCAGTCGAGAGGTCTCCCCAGAGGGAATTGGCCGCCTAAACTGACGATAAATGACTAGACTTCACGAAAGCGGGGAGAGCGAGGCTGGGGAGTCGTCGTCCCGGTCGAGTCCCCGAAAAATACCATCTCCACGAATCATATAGATCGCTCTCGGGATACCATTCCGCATCTCGATCAGTCAAGGCGAGTCGTGCGGTACCGTCCCGGAGGCCCGATTTCAACAAGCCCGATTCTGAGAGGTTAGGGGAAAAAACGGGAAAATACGGGTTAGGCTGCGACGGAAGCCTGACCCAATTCAAGCGTGAGGTTTAGAGCCGAAGTGCTACCGACGATTCGGGCACCCCGGAATCGGGCATCCAGGATTCGGGGATGCGGTACCCAACCAATCGTAAACATGTAGCGCCAATCGGAAGCCCAGAATCAGGAATCGGGACTTCGCTCTTGGCGTGCCTAATTCACGTTCATATATTCGGAGATGAATACACGGTACAGATAGAGAGGATTTCATTGATTATTCGCGCTCAATACTGAAAACAGCCCGCCATCGAGACACAACAACTGGCGAAGAATCCTCGAAAACACGGACGAACGGAAAAATACTGTCCCTCAGCTGGTGGGAATGGATCCTCTTGTCACCAAACCGGCATCTTTAGCCATGCCGTGGAAGGTCGAGTTCCTATCCTCTATTAGGTCCCTTGGACATCCTTTCTCTATTATTTCCCCGGCACTCATCACGATGACTCTGGGGTGGGCGAGAGCGAAAATGTTATTCCCGCCTCCGCCATCTGAGATTCGACGCTCCGTAGGAGGGTTGAGGACCCACGTATCGTAGTCGAGGATCGTCTGAAGCCGATGAGCGATCGTGATCACCGTCGAAGATTCGAATACATTCCGGATGGTCCTCTGAATGAGAGCATCGGTCGCCGCATCGACAGCCGCCGTGGCTTCATCCAAAACGAGTATCTTCGATTTCCGCAGCAGAGCTCTGCCCAGACAGACCAATTGACGCTCACCGAGTGAAATGTTCGAGCCCTCTGTGAAGAAAGCGGACACAAATACCTCGATCCGTGAGAGAACGTTCGACTTCAGCGAAGAGAAACAAATGCAAGGTGAACTCAAGAGCGATCACCTTCGCTGATTTCCGATGTCAGTTTCAGATCCTTTCTCAGATGAGCTGCTCGAGCCGCCTCCTCCACCAGTTCATCAGAGAATTCATGGTCGGGATCGAGATTGCTCCTCAGGGTTCCGCGGAAAAGAATCGGATCCTGAGGAATCATCGTGAGCCGCTTCCTGAGAGTGTGCAAGCCCAACGTCGAGGTATCGATGCCATCGATCCGTATGCGACCCTCGGACGCTTCAAGTATTCGAAACAAAGCTAGAGTGAGGGAGCTCTTGCCGGCCCCGGTGCGTCCAACGACGCCGACTTTCTTGCCAGCATCGATATGGAGATTGAGGTTGTTGAGCACGAGTGGAGTCCCTTCTCTGTGGTGAAGAGATAACGAGAACGTCCGGACTCGCGGCTTCAAACATCTATCGAATCGATTCACCGATCCCATGAGTTCGTACCTGTAGCGACACGAGTAGTTCTCGAAGTCGACCACGCCGGCATGCGGCCAGTCGGTGGGAGGCGTTGCGGATTCTATCTCCCAGGGCGCTTCGGAGGGTATCTCGCCGTATTCGAACAAACGCTCCGCTGAGACAACGGCGCTTTCTAGCAGGGTCGAGGATTCGATGAAACGAGCCATGAAGCGCGTGACCTGGAAGCGAGCTCCTCGATTAGTCCCGAGACTCAGCACCCTCTCAAATCATTGTCGTTCTCCGTTAGATTTCTCCGTTGGCATTCACCGTCATAGTGTAGGATATCAGCAGACCAGCTGTTCCCATGCCGAGTTCCCTCCCGTTGAGGAGTATGATCGAGATCATGAAAAACATGAACAAGGCATTCAGGGCGTCGACTCTAACCGCTGCCCATCTGAAATATTCGACGGGAACTTAATCGCTGGAACCTTTCTCCGCCTTTGCACTTTTCCTGAGTGGAGGGAATCGACTCCTCTCCTAGTCCCTGCCAACCCACCTCACTGTTATCAAGTTGTGCAGCATAGTGTTCTGACTGACATCCACTCGAAGATGATTGCGGATCAGCAGCATGTTCTCGGCTTTGTACGCTCTGATGACCGAGACGCCACTCAGAACTTCCGAGAAGTCATTCAAAACCGGAGATCTGCACATGAGCATCAGACGTTTCGACTGGCGAGCTGCTTGCAGATAAATTGACTGGAAGGTTGTAGATTCCAGCCTTGGTCCCGGCTCCAGTACAATACAGATTTGAAGGGGACCGAATGCCGGTATCTCACAGCGACACGCACCCTTATGTAAATGAATATCAGGACCGCGGGAACCAGGGCCAATATCATGATATGCAACTCGACGAAGACCAGAACGACGCAGCCCAAGATGGAGAGCAAGAATCCGAGGTAGTCATCGAAAATCTGATACAGCTCCATATCCATGACGGTGACATCTTTGCTGAAGCGGTTGATGATTCGTCCGACGGGTGTCAAATCGAAGAACGACAATGGCGCGTGCAGCATAGACTTCAACATGGTTTGGTGCAGGTTCATAGAAACTCGGTGACATGAGTTTGCTAGAACCAGGAAGCCGATCAATGTGGATGCACCCGCCCCTAATCCTATGAAGGCGAAGATCGTAAGGCCATGAGAGGTTTGCGCCTTGTAGCTTTCGTGGAAATTGAAATTCTCGCTGCTCTGGTTGTATCGAACCAGATCCTCGATGCCGCCCGTCCAATGCCTGATCCAGACAATGCCTCCGATCTGCGCCGAATCCGTTTTTAGAATAACCGTGTGCTCTTCCGGAGTGAGTCAATCTCGGGTGGGCAGCTCTTCCCGAGGAAGATTAATTCAGCTAGACTCACATCTAGAACTCGGAAAAGTACGTAAAGAGTAGCGACCGCGATCAGAGGTTTCATGCCAAAATGTTGCGCCATGGTCTGGTAGACGCCCCAGTTGATCTGTCAATCGAAAGGAGGGGAAACTTAGAGAGTCACGAAATAGGAGGCGCTCCGGGGGCAACCTTTAGTGATACGTGATTCGGAATCGTACGTCACCGCCTCGTTTGACTTCGTCCTCGATATGGAATTTGAAATCCTGGTCTTCATCGGCAGGTGACGTGGTCGCCGGTGTCTTCAAGAAAGTGAGCATCAACGTGGACTTCGGCACGTCTTCGGAGTCTCGCGGTATCACACTTGACCTTCTCCTCATATTCAATACACTGGCGAGTTCGTTGAATGTTCCTGAAGCTATTATTTTGCCATGGTCCAAGACCAGAACACGGTCACACATTGGCAGTATCGACTCGTTGTGGGTCGCTATTATCCGGGTCGTGTGGCGCAACATTCCCCTGTTGCTGATAACGTCGCGGAATATCACGTCGGCCACATGGGCATCCAAAGCGCTCAGAGGATCATCGAATAAATACAATTCGGCCTGATGATAGACCGCTCGAGCGATGCTGATCCTCTGCTTCTGACCCCCTGACAGATTCATTCCTCGATCTCCAACTTCGGTTTGATCGCCGTCAATGAGAAGTCTGATGTCGGGCCGAAGGGCGCAGTTCTTGATAACCTTCGAGTAGTAGTGCTTGTCTAACTGATTCCTGAAGAGTATGTTCTGCCGAACCGTTCCACTCTGGATCCAAGCTTGCTGGGGCACGTAAGCGATCTTCACGTCTCTGATGGCTATCGACCCACCGACTTGATTCATCTCTCCCAGCATGGCGGAGAGCAGCGAGGATTTCCCAGTTCCAATCTGACCCAACACCGCGATCAGCTCGCCTCGCTTGACCCTGAGATCTATGTCTTTCAGACTGACTTCCTGGCCCCAAGCGAAGGTAGCTTCTCGGATGTCTATCACGACATCATCATCTACGTGAAAAAAGAATTCCGAAATTATCTCCATCGACTCGAGACGCATTTCGATCGGTTGAGTGACTCCTGCTTCTGGAGGGTGAGCTCGATTGACGCCCGAGTGCGGATCAGTGAGAGCGGCGCGAACCTTCCACAACGCGGTCGGGTCCTTCGACGAGATCTTCACAGTTGAGGAATTGTTCGATCCGTTGGAGAGCAACCCTTGCCTGTACGAGTTTGGACAGCACAGCAGGCAGGTATATGAAGTAGAAGCGGAGTATACCGAAAATCAGCATCGCAGTGAAGGCCGCATCGGCCCGTAGGACGGCGTTACCGTCGAATAGTAGGAAGCAGGTGTACGTTGCCAAAGCCACCTGCCAGGGAGGCAATTTTGCTCAAAATGCTCTGCTCGAGATCGATCCAGAGGGAGACCGATCTCAGTCACCCGGGAGATGGGACGAATCCCCATTGGGGCGAAACCGCGGACGCAACCCTTGAGGCGATATCGGGGATGCGCGATCTTCAAGTCCATCACAGACATCTCGAGTTTCTACTCACGACGAATGGACTGCTGTTCCAGATGAGAATGGCAATTGATTCCCCGTAGAGAAACTTCTCGAGTACCTTGCCCTCGATTTCTCGAACTTTCATGATTTTCTCCATGAACGCTTCCTCCCAAGCGAATAACTTGATGATCTGTTGACGTGAGGGAGGGGCATCACCCACATGAGCGCAGCAGCGCAATTGGATCGAATTTCCGACCAGTAGTCCACTCACTTTCATACTGCTGAAGAGTTCGCTCGTCGTGCTCATTCTCTTATCCTTCTCAATCAGAATCTCTCGCTGCGGATGAGACTCAAGGGCTAGTGGACATAAGCTCCAAGGAGTGATTCCGCGATGATATTTCAGATGACAGTTCAGCGACTGCTCCAAACGAATACGTACGTTGATAATTTGTAGTCTGTACGCCACGTAGAACGACAAAGGCATCATCAGCAGAATACTCCCAGCGGCACCATAGGCCCCTGGACCCAACAAATAGTATACCATGAGACATGAGATGCACGTTCTTATCGGAATTCCGATCGCCATGCCGCAATACTGCGTGAACAAGAACACCTGGGCGACATCGATCGAGGCCAGATTGAGTATGTCGCCTGCGCCGTAACGATGCCTTGCGTCGGGATGGATTCGTAGGCACTGAAACATACATGGAGCTTCCGATTGAATACCCTGGCCGATACCCATGAGAATTGCGCTCCGACGATGTACTGACACTTGGTTTGACTATATTCAGTAAGAGTCCTAGCTCCCTCTATCGGCTCTCTGACCTTGTCATACAAAGCTGTCAGCAGAGCTGCTCTTTGCTGGAGTGCTCCATAATACATCCGATAGTGATTGTGGTTTGTGAAAATCGAGTACCCTGCTGTCAATATGCACAAGATCACAGCCCACAAATACGTCGACGAAGTCGCGGTTTCGGAGCTCCGTATGATCTGTCTACGAGGGAGGGAACAAATCTACTCGGGGAAGTTTCGTATGCTGGCCTCAGGGCAGACGAGCCTCGGGCCCTTGGGAGGATTCTGGGCCTGCTGATAACGCTTCACACAAATCGTGATGCTCGCTAGCCGAGAGAGCTGTATTGGTGACCGTAATTTCAAAGAAGTCACTAACTTCACGACGTAGGCTGGGGCCGCAAAGGTGACACAGAGCCCGACTTGCACACACAGGATGCATAGAAGGAAGTGATGGAAGGAGTAGAGAAGTTTCTTCCACAAAGCTTTCTTTTTCTGGGCCGGCTCGGAACTAGACGACTCTGTATCTCGATTGTCATCTCTGGGAGCGGAAAGAAGCTTATCGCGGGGATGTGAGGCAATCAGGCAGAACGTGGTGAGGATCACTTACTCTTTGGAGCAGTACAAGAATCTTTCGTAGCAAACTTTAGCGGAGAAATTTATGTTCATGGGAATCAGATGCTGAAGCCGTGCCTCCCCTTTGACGCAGGCTCTCATGAACCTGGCGATTTCAGCGTTCGGAAATAGGTCTCTCAAATCAGTTGATTCCACAAAAGATTCGGCCCCATTCTTGCAGAGACGACGGCGAGTACCTACTCATTGAAGTTAGAGAAGGTCACGTGATGGATTAAGGGCGTATTCTTCCGAGTAATGCGTGTCCTGGCCTCAGCCGGGAACTCGAGGTCTTCATCACCGTCGCTGCCCATCCTCGCAGGTCGAGAGGAAATGCTCACTCAGAGAGAGAGGAGCGGGTTGGGATGCGCTTCGTTGTTACGGGATCGGTAAACGGTACAAGGAAAGAGATAAGGGATCGACGCGGCACCGAGACCACACCCTCCATGATGATTTCGTGCTGAGCCTTGATCTCCTCGCCCTATAATCAGACGGCTGAAGGTCCGCATCCCCGGGAGCAGAAATGCGTCCCCAAAACCACGCTCCCATGCTAACCCACGCCAACAGGGCCGGTTCGCTGAAGCACGGGGCTGTCATTTCATGCTACATACGGATGCTCGACATTCATTCGCGCTCCCCTTATCCCACAGTAAAGCCCTGTATCCGGCGAAACAATTTATTCAGGACGTACACGAGATGTAAGTCGGTACATCAGAGCTCTACTGTGAGGAAATCATCGAGTCCTCGTATAGCTTCTTCCCATGGACATCCACTCGAGAGCTTCGACAGAATCTGAACACAATGAGTCAGATGCAACGGCCGTTCGTCCCCTTTCTCCTCCCATCGAAGGCAAGCAGAAGTTGGGAAGCGCATACTCCTCACCTGGAATTTCGGAGGAATATTATCTCTCTGCCTTGACCAGCAGAGAACCTCCGGAATCTACGCACAAACAGTGTTTTGAACTCACCCCCAGTTCTCGTGCTCTTCGAGCGGATACTCCCGGCAGATTGGTCTTGTCGACGAGAGCCCCTATCACATAGATGACATCTTCATCTAAATTGTCGAGCACTCCCTCTCCCTCGGGACTCAAATATACAATGTTTTCCCGGGGGAATAGTTCCGTAACCGGTTTCGGAGATAACTCATACGGGAACGCGAGTTTCCTCGCGGCTACCATATTCGTCACCAGTCGCGCAGAGAAGCTAGTTTCGGGATCGAAACTACAAAGATGAAGATTGACCGGCGACGTCGTCCATCTATTTGCCGCGAACATGAGTTTCATATCGACGCTGAGTTTCCGCATTTCCCTCGGACTCATCAAGTCGTCAAAGGAAAAGTCCACTGCAACTCTCTGGGCGAAGGGCAGTCGGGGCAACATAAGTTTTTCGAGAACCATATAGAGTTTCCGCTCCTCTATTCGTGGGAAGATGCAGTTTGCGAACAGGCCATACCTGGGCAAAACATCCGTGGACGTCCAGGGCTCAATGATGGGTTTGTCGTAAACAGGCTGGGATCTAGGGTTCTGCTTCCTGTATTCTTTGTACTCTTTGCCCGCGTAGAATTGCAAGAAACGTCTCCTCTTATTCAGTGATGGTAATTGTATGACTTCCTCGAGTAGTTCCGGCGTCAGATGTCTCGGCACATGCCGCCCCTTCCGTATTTCACGATTCAAATAGTATACCATAGCTCTCAACTGCTGCTTGCTAATCGTTCCTTTTTCGAGCAGATGTCCGTAGTCGTGATAGTTGTAAGACATTTCTCGGGCCGGCTCCACGATCGAGGTTTTGTCGGTATCCAATCGATGTTCATCTCCTTTCTGTCCTGCGAGCGACGAGCAGCGGCGACTTTCCATCAGCATTCTAGGCAAATCTGCTCGAGACAATGACCGCGAGAGCATGCTTCTGAGAAGAGTCGCCATTCCGGAACGTGTATAATTCGTCACTCTCTCTGAGGAATGATCAGGTTCGCATCTGAGAACACCAGGCACCGAGAGTCTTCGCAGTGACAAGTTCCATCTCACGAACAGAAATCATGTCTCAAGTTCGTCGCAGGGCTCACGGAATAGTATCATGAAGCGCGCAGTCGACATCCACTGGACCTTCTCTCGGAATCCGGGCGGCTTTGAACAAGATCATGGACTGTCATGGACCGTCCGAAAATTCGATTACGCGGTCAAATCTCGAGGATGCAACGCATCTTGCAAGACACATCGGGAAAAGAATCTCCCCAGATTCTTCTGAAACCCGGGGCAGCTGCGCGGTCGACACAGTGGTGGGCTGGCGGTGTGTGGTAGCGGAGCAGGTAGATGCCGACCCGGCTCGGAAGACCGTCGTCCCGGCGCGGCGGCTCTCTCTTGCGGCATAGTCGTTCAAAACAAGAGGCGCCATCCCCTCCGCGGCGGAGAGGAGACCTTTGCTGTGATGATTCCCGAAGGGTCATCGTATCGTCGAGTATTGTAGTTGGATGGTGCATTCAGCCGCTATCGAGCCGACTGTGAAGGTCGATTCGTGCACGGGGCCAGATTCACAGGCTTCCACGTCGGTAGCTATATGGGTAGATCCTTCGGAATCTATTGGGCTCCGCCGATGCCGCCTGCATGGTAAGCTACCGGACAGGTGAGCGCAGGAGTCGGCGAGCGATTATAATCGCCTTGGACTAAGACTGAGAGTCTTATATGAGAAGATCCACATTCAACATCGAATAGAAGTTTATTCTCAATTTTCGTATAGCTTAAGCCATCCCTCGCGCTTTGTCCCATAATCAACTAATAAATAATAGTCGGGGTAGAACCAATGAATTGATGTAACAAAGATTTCCTCACGATACCCTTGCACTGTGTCAGTATATCGTCCGACCACAAAGATCACCTCTCTCGGCCTAGATATTCCCCCGGTTCGAGAACAATTCTCGTCTCCCGGAGCCAACCTTTCGAATGCCCAAAGCAACTGAAGTTGTTTACACGTTGATCTCACTCCGACCCTCGAGGTAATCACTATACCTCTGAAGGACCGGCTGCACCTCGACGTTGATGAACTCAATTACTTGGCCCGGGGCGCGACCCACAAACGTGCTTGCATCCAAGAGTCCATCGATTTTCGCATGGATTGGCGAGAAGTACGAATCGTTTTTGATGCGCTCGACAAGGTCGTTGTCTTTGCCGTGTTCCTTGACCTGAGCAGCCGCTTGGTGGCTGAGAACGCGAATTTTCTCGTGGCACTCCTGTCGATCACCGCCAGCCTTCACCATGGCCATGATGACATTTTCTGTCGCCATGAAAGGCAGTTCTTGGTCGATGTGACGCTGAATCACCTTGGGGTAAACGACCAAGCCCTCGGTTACGTTCTGTAAGGTGTTCAAGATGATGTCCGCCGTCAGGAAGGCTTCCGCGAGGCAAACTCGTCGGTTTGCACTGTCGTCGAGCGTCCTCTCCATCCATTGGGTTGCCTGAAGGGTAATCGGAGCGAGGTAAATTAATGCAAGCCACTCGGGGGAGGGAGTGCCGCTTCAATCACGATCTGCAACATCGAATATTCCCCAGTGAAATAATCTCTCCTTGCCTGAGTTTGGAGGGGGTTCATAATGAGCGTGATCAAGTGTCGAGCCAGCGAACAACATCGCTCACTCCGCATCGGATTCCGCTTGTAAGCCATGGCCGAGGAACCGATTTGAGTTTTCTCGAAGGGCTCCTCCACTTCTTTCATATGCGCCAAAAGGCGGATGTCGGTACATATCTTGTGAATCGTAGCTCCGAGCGACGATAACACAGACAGGATCTCGATATCAACTTTCCGACTGTAAGTCTGGCCACAGATGATGAGAGAGTTCTTGAAACCAGCCATTTCAGTAACTCGCTTATCCAACTGTTTGACTTTACTTTCCTCGTTCTCGAACAGCTGCAGGAACGAAGCCTGGGTTCCCGTTGTGCCCTTCACCCCTCGGAAACGCAGCTCGTTTCGCACTCGCTGGAGGTTCTGGATATCCATGAGGAGATCTGTCAGCCACAAGCAAGCTCGCTTGCCCACAGTGGTCAGCTGAGCCGGCTGGAAGTGGGTGAAGCCCAGGGTCGGTAGCGCTGCGTATTCCTTGGCGAACTTCGCCAATCGATCGACGCAACGAGCTACTTTCGGGATCAGGATATCCAGACCGTCCCGCAATTGAATTAGGTCGGTGTTGTCGCCGACGTAACACGAAGTCGCTCCCAGATGGATTATAGGAGCGGCCTTGGGGCACTGCTGAGCGAAAACATGGACGTGAGCCATCACGTCGTGACGAGTGAGTTTCTCTTCAGCCGCGGCCGCCTGGAAGCGACAGAAAAAATTAGCCTACAATCCCAGCGAACTTATCCCGAACTCTCGTAAATCCGCCTCTTCTGGAGCATCTCATCGATTCGTGGGGATTCGTTGCCAGAGGAAGAGAGCTCCTCTTTCCTCAAAAGTGTGTCCCCATTCCGGTCCCCTCCGGCAAGAGTTTGATCGACATGATAAGTTCGAATTTCGAACTCTGGGCGATGGATAGATGGCAGCTCGACGCCAGCACGAAGGGAATCGACCGATATGGCGGGAATTCCTCTCCTTGGTCCACATCGGAGCATCGGATGGAGGAATGATTCGCGTCAGTCCCCTAGGGACTTACCGGGTAGTCGATGCGGCTGACATTCTTTTCCATTTCGGAGATTTGATCATCGCGGATAGGCAAACCTGCAAGCGAGGTGAATTATTTCTGATTCGAAAGGGATTGACCCATCTCACAAAACATGGTTTAGATTACGGTTAGACATAGGGATCAAAATATGAAACATCGGCTCAAAGGAATTGTGAAGTTGCCGGGGCAACGAAGGATAACTCGATAAGTATCGGCATTCTAAGGTGGATGATAATAGGTGCCAACATTTCATCGGTGCTCAACCGATTTCTCTCGTTCGACGGTCACGCTGTGTTCTCAAGTGGGAGCTTCTCCTCTGTTTTCGGAAGGAGCGATCTCTTGAGGCTCGAACGCCCGACCGAACGAAGACGCAGAGAAACGTTCGGCCGCGAGTCTTGATTCGAGTCGAGGAAGGAAATATTAGAGCTACCAGTTCTTCGGCGAAACCAGAGGAAAACTATATTTTCTCTGACCACGCTAGAAGTGTCACAACGCTCACCAACACATCTGACCCATTGAATCGCACGCGTAATCACTGACGAGAAGGTTATTTGGGATCGGCTTCCTCGTTTCCGAAACAGAGCTTTGCGATGATGCACGCTGACGATTCTGCTCACTGGCGCTATTCTGGACAAGCTTACTCACCCAACTCTTGCTCCGCCTTTGCCAGGAAAATCCACAGCCTCCTCCACGTGGAAAACTTCTTCTCATCACTGAAGTTGTACGCCATTTCAGGTGAAGCATACCGGGAGGTCAAAGGGCTTTGGTATTTCGTATTCATGTCGGATGCCATTCTGAAGCTGGAAGACCACCTGTTACATTGACGAACAGTTTTTTAATCACCGGTCCGGCTAGCGTTTTCGAATCAAGCGAAATTATTCCTCGACGAGCAGAAGCTCGGAACTAGGCGGGTGGACTGAACACTCAATACTTGGGGACATATCGATGAGATAGCTTCCCTTCGGGGGATTCCGAACACGCGAGGATCTATCGCCGAATTCCCAAACTACCCCGGAACACAAGTGCTTATCATCTGGATGACAGATAAGATGCTGTTCACCCGATAGCTCGACGAGATGCCTCTATCGAAAACCTCGGATACCGAAGCGTGGGTCGCACAACATCGAGGAAAGCCACTACTTGCAACGTGACACTCACTTGCCAATACGGACACACACACTTTCCCTTTTCCGACCGGTGTTCATTACCTCCGTTTCATGGCGTCGAAGAACTCTTCCTTTCCTCCGGAAAAGCTTCTCCACCAAGACCGGGCCGCTACGCTCTATCACTGCGGCGATATCATGAAATGGATAAAACCTGCCGAGAGCTACGACGCAAGCGAGTGCCCAGGGAGATTGGCGTCGGTCTCTTTCTGTCGCTCGCTCGCTCGTTCCGTTCGTCCGTCTTTCTGTCCATCGGTGAGCGGCAGCGGCTTATCGTTCTGGCCTGGCCGTTTATCTTATCCTCGATACGCACGGGGTATCGGTCTCTTCCATCTCGCGTCTTGTAATCATCTGTCTGTCGACACAGATTGTAAAGTCGCGGGGGCTTCGCGGATTGACAAAAGTGGCGGCTCATGAATTCATGGAGTTCCTTCAATGCTCAAATCGTGGAGGAAAGAAGAGGGAAAGCCCATCGGAATACGAAAGCATTCGCGGCCAAGGGAGCGCGCGAAGAGCTCAGCGTGCCCGGAGACCGCGGACTCTGGCGGTCTCCCGCAGGAGCGATCGAACGCCAAACGAGAGAATCCCCTGGAGATTCTCCCTCCGCAGAGGACAGCAGTCGGTGAATGACACATGATTGACAATGAATGACACGTGATTCTGGACAAGCGGGCAGATTGGTATGTGCCGCAGCAGAGGAATGCGCTCTCTGCCACCGTCCGTCCTTGACGTTCGTCGTCGAACGGAATCTATTTCCACGGAAGAAAGGAACGAAAATACGCTCCGGGGTCGCTATGCCCGCGGCGATGTTCATGAGTTCCGCTCGCTCGAGAAAACGCGGCCGCAGGGTCGCTGCATCGATCAGTGAACTCAATCGACCGCTCCGGTGCCATGACAGTGAGCGGAAAAGATATATGGGACGTGACCAAGGTCCCGGAAGAGACATGAGCACGATTTTAGATATTCGCTACCGCACTGAATCAAAGAGGAGAACGACTCGAATGTGGTTCACCTGCGCGGGTGCCCGAGAGCGCCCTCGAGTCCGGGCGGGTTTGCTCGACCTAGAAGTCAAGAGCAACCATCGAAGCCTACCTGGAGGTGAAGAACAATCACTGGCGAGGCTGGACCGTCAATGTCAATCGGTAGATTCGAATGGCAGAGGAACCGAACCTGCGAGAGACCGAGCCGGTCGTTCAGCGGTGCTCCGCACAGCTGTGAGGAGACGCTGAAGTGCGCTCTCACCGACCGCCGGGAAGCCGCCAATTTTCAAATGGATGATCGTGCGCGAAACTGACCGCTTCTCCGCACGCACCGAGACCCGCAGAAACTGGAGGCTTCCGAGAAAAACAGGCTTTTGTCTTCTTGTGGAGCTCGAGACTCTCTCTCTTCGGACACCGGGACATCCGCAAATCCCACGTGGGTTTCGTACTCGTCGTTCGGTGACACGAGGGCGCTGGCATCGCGCGCGGACGGACCCGTATCAAAATAGAACGTTCGGCTCCGCGCACCACCCGGACCAAGGAGGATTCGATTTGGAATTCTCCAGGAATATGATCGCGTGACTTCAGTTCGATAGTGAGCGTGAAGAGAGCGGAAAACAACAGAGCGCCGGGGATGTTCGGCTTGCGGTGTATCCTCCGCGCTGGCACGAATCAAATTCGTCGGCGGACTTTCTGCATCGCCGAAGATAATCCATACTTCGCGAAGTATGCTGCCAAATTGAAAAAATACCAGGAAGCTAACCCCGAAGAATTCGAAGACAAGGTGACAGATCTCAAGAAGAGCAAGAGGAAGAAACTACTCATCAATCCAGACGGGAGCGTAGAAGACGGAGTGACGCCGAAAGGTAGATTTTCACTTCGGAATTCCTCGGGGAGATTCTCTAACACCCCCAGAGGCTAACCCGATGAATCGGAGGCTGGGACCGAGATCTGCAAGACGATCTCGGGGTCATGCGGCCTTTTTACCTGTGTAGAGTTGCATAGGACAGATTGAGTGTTCCTACAAGCAGCAACAGAGCCCTCAACGAGACTCCGCTACGAGCCCACTCTCGAATGAGTATTTTTTACAGACTTGAAAAACGCCCCGCGCCTGACAAAGGAGGAGATTCGTATTGAGAAACCAGAGCAGCTCGATAGCTTATCCGTCGATCAGTTGAGCCAGGCGTGGAAGGAGCGACATGCGAACAAGGATTCGATCTGCGGGATCGTTCCCGCGGATTCTTTTGAGACGATGGCCAAACGCGGGGTCGAATTCCCTACTTTCGTCTACCCGGTACCCCGGGGCGATGGGTGAGTGGACAGCGAGAAATTATCCTGATCGAGCCTGAGCACCCGGGATCCTTATTATTCTGTGGAGCTCCTTCAAGTCATCCAGAGCGAAGCTGATGTTGCCTCGAGTAGTACCATTCCGCTTCTTTCAGTTACGAGATGTTCCTCGGCCAAGTGTCCAGCGGAGGTCTTGAGGTGCATTTCACGCCTCTAGTGGAGTTCCAGAAGCACCAGAGTGAGGCGCCGCCCTGCTTGCAATTGAAGTTTTTCACTGACTTCATCGACAGTAAAGCCATTGTCTTGATGGCCGGAGAGTACAACGGCAAGGTAAGAAACATTGATCAATACACTTGGTAGCACCTTCCCATGTCATCGATGAAGAACCTCGGGGATCAGACGCCGCGTCGATCTGATATTCGATATCCGGTTCGCGTTGGATCTGAAATTCGCTGAGCTGTCTCCTCTCGACGAGTGCTGCAAGTGACGATGAAGGCCGGTACGCGCCGGAATCCTCTCTATCCATGGAATACGGTCGGGCTATCGCAAGAATCGGTCTACTCGCGGCATTCGCTCTCAAGAATACGCAATTTTTTCAAGGTCATTGGGCCGGAACACGCGCAATGCTTAGCGAACCAGCATCAGATCTACTATGGATCCTCTGAACTCCGACGCAAGCTCATGCTGTGGAACTTCAACAAGGAGCCGAAGTCTTTCAACCACGAAATTCTTATCGAGGAGTTCGAGAAGACGCTAGGCGCCGTTAAGGAAGGAGTAGTACTGAGTTAGGAATAGGATAATTTTTCACAGAGATGGTCTTCGCAGATCGTCATATACCGAAGAAGATGTTGTAATATAAAACGAGGACTTATTCGAGCTCGTCGTCATCTCGATTATTCTCGAATACCCTCTCTAAATTATCCCGGCCGGCGATCCGGCCCGTAGAATTGAGATCGGTACACGGAACCCATCGATTGATCGGCTTCCGGAATGTCTTCCTTTGCTCTTAGACCACTAGCGGGCTCACGACTTCTTCCTAACCCAAAGTTCCACAGACCCATTTCGTCTCAAATTATGATTCGATCGTACCATCCTTGTAATTCTATCATCGGAAATATGTTGAAAATGTAGGCTCGCGGAGGGGGGGGAGCGGCACGAAGGCCATCCAGATGAGAACTTGAGCAAACTCCGGAGAGTCTAGAAAACTGTTCTTCGAGATCCTTAGAGGAACCTATCCTGAGCCTTGACTTGGGACATCGTGAGCGTGGCTGAAGGTCGGATATGCTATTGTGTCCACGACCCCCACAGGCTGCTCCCAACGACTGCCGGTGAATGCGAGGATTCTACCATTTAGAGGGCAAAAAAATAGGGGCTCGGATATCCTCGAGGTGCTGAGACACCAAGACAATGTTCGGCTGAGGATTTTCAATCTGAACGGAGGTTTTCCGATGGCGAGCGAGACCAGAGTGAGTATACTAGTATCTGGGGAGGGACATGAAGTCATTCTCGTGAGTCTCGCGCGACAGATCCCTCAGTTGAAGAAGCTGGACGAGGCAGTCAGGCATCTCGGAGCCGACTCTACCACGACTTCGAGCAGGATCGGTCCTCGATTGCCCGCCGCCGTCAGCTTTCTACTCGTACCTAGACCGCGGATCTCTTTTGCAAGGGGAGGCCGTTCGGCGTTCTCGGTCTTTCGTTGCGCCTACGGTCCGAGCTTCCATGCCGTGCTGGAAATGTTTTTCTCGAATACTGGGGGTACATCGATTATGAAAAAATCATGGCACCAGAGTCCGAGATCCCTGCGAGAGCTTGCACAAGCGTACGCTGCTCTCCGGAGACTCCGCAGAGTTCCTACTTTGGCCCGAATCGACGACAGTCGAATGGATTTATTTCCCAGCTGTAGATGTGTCAGATGACTGCGAGAAGACAGAACTTGAAGCTCTCAGAATATGATTCGATCCGAAATCTGTCCGTGATGGCAGGTCTGTAAAATGATCTGCTCAATGCCGTTCCCCTTGTTTCAACTTTTGCAGAGGGCGAATTACGAGTCCATCAGCATTGATAAGACTTCCACAGGAAATCCGATCAGCTCTAGTGTTTTCTAGGAAACTAGGAGTTTCCCTGTTCAGGGAGCGATCCCCGCATGGGATCGGCCAAACCGTCAGGGCATTATCTCGAGCTGCTGACCGTAGAGATGATCGTCGGTGATCGCACAGCCTCCTGCTTTTGGAAAGGCTGGCGAGGGAATCTCCTGCTTCATTCGTTCGTCGTGTCGCAGAGATTGATGCTTTCAATTATTAGGGATCGTCACCCGTAACGGGTTATGAGTCACGGGGCTTTTGAATAGCGCGCCGTTACAGAGGAATAATGGAAGGCGAGAAGGCGCTGGCTGCGCAGCAGAGACACCGGCCGCATTCTGTCGAACTTTCAACACACCGCAGAGAACTTCGATAAGCATAGTGGTGGAACGAACGCGTGCTCTGAGTTTCGTCGATCGACCGGATACTTCATCTCGTTCCCGAAATAATCTCGAAAATGCACCGCAGAAGAGAAACGGCTTACCAAGAGGCCAATCGATTGGCGAAAAACTTTGACAACCTGACGAAAGTTTTGCAGTCGTCGAAGGCCATGCAGATGCGATTCACGCTGATCCCGAAAAAGGCCTTGAATAATGTGGTGGTTGCTGGCGTAAGAGACATGTCTCTGGGACGCCCCGGACATGGTACGGCATGGAGAGCTCCACGTTCTCTTATTCTCGATCCACGTCTTCTCATTATCCGGTGGTGTAGCAATGAGGCCGATCGAAAAAATTCGGGCTAAACAGGGCTGGCTCTCCGCAAGCGGATTCGGAATATCTTCCATGACTCTCGATCGGGCTTGTAGACTAGCGGCGCGCTCAGGGGATATTTCCGTCGAAAAGATCCGATTCCGGAAAGCGAACGAGATAGCTCGACGAACACGACCGCGGGGAGGAAAAATCGTATAGATATCGAGTCAGCATCGCGTATTGCCGTGGCAAAGCCGCCGACGCCGGCAAGGAGAAAATGAAGCTCATGCCGTTTTTCATCAGAGAGCAGAATCATCAAATGTGTTGGAGCCACTGGACCAAGTCCCTACACGTGATCCAGTTCGGTGGGCTGTCCCGGTCGGTTTCTGCAATCGAATTGTATTCTACGAAGATGTGATTTTTTGTACGTGATTCCCATCACGGCGCTACTCTGCGAGCCGAGTCGAGAGTCATGAAAAATATTCCAAGCCTGCTCGAGAGTGTCGGCGCTCTCATCGAATCAAGATCGGACGAGCCGACATTGATCGCGGCGCTCCGATGGTGCTTGAGGAGGGAGACATGAGCCCCGTATATTACGATCTCCTCCATGATCTTATGTCTCGACTGTATCGGCATTCGTCTTCAAGGTGCGAATGTCATAAGATTCAACAATCCGAGCCCAAACACCAAGTCCGACTTCCATCGGATATGCATCGATCCGAAGGGCAAGCCCCACAAGGCGAACCCCCACATCCCCGTTTCGGCCGGAACCGTGAAAGCAGCTCAAACTTTACAGAAGGGTTTGAAGGTAATCGAGAATTATCGTCTATGAGGTCTCTCTCGCGAGCCGCATCAGGTCATCGCTGCCCCAATTTTTCTGGAACAACTAAGGGGATAGGTAATTAAAATTTTCGTGTCCTCCTCTAGGTGACCGGCCGGATCTTGTTTGTCATTTCTATCGTGGCCAGCGGGGCTAGAATCGCCGCGGCAGTCATTAACGAAGTTGATATTGATGAAGAAATCGCGGCGATGGAGAACATCGTCGACTGTCTCCGAGAGGATCTGCACCACTGTGACGCACCGGCGGAGAGAACCGATATCAGGGAAGCTCTGGAATTTGCCGAGAAACTTCTCGCAGATGCACGCCATTGCAAGCGCAATCCTGGGAAAAAGACGGTGCTCACAACTTTATGCATTGGCGCAGAATGGGCTGGCGCGGCGGCGATGGGCTTCGCTGGCGCCCAAGGGGGCGCGGCGGTTGGCGCCTTCGGTGGTCCTGTCGGCGCCGTCGCCGGTGCTGTCACTGGGAGCGTAATAGGTGCTGTCGCAGGCTCGGAATTAGGTGCATCCGCAATGAAGAACTTCCGCTGTAATGAGGATGGCATCGCGACGGAATTGCAAGGCTCTCTAGTCGACTTCGACAACGGCGTGCATGGTCAAGTTCTAGGGGTGGATGGTAATGCGTACATAGGAAAAGGTCTTGAAGTCGGTGCACGAGGAGCTCTCTTTGAAATGACGAGGGGAGATGAGGAGGGCGCTGTTTCCCTCAAGGTCGGCAAAGTAGGTGCCAACATCGGTGTCACTGAAAAAGGCGTGGATGTCGGCGTTGAAGGCAAATTGTATTGGACTGAGCTCTCTTCCGGGAAAGACAAATTCGGACTCGGTATCAATTTCGACACCGGTATCCAAGCGAACGAGGATGCTGTAGGGTTCTCTGTCGCGGGCTTCGGATTTCATAGGGATAGAAATGGCTTCACGATCAAACTGCCTTTCTGTAATTACACTAAGGGGTCGTAGATTTATATAAATGTCAAGTATACGTGCGCATATACTGTACAGATCTCATACCACCTGTTATGATTTCTTGGGATCAGGTCAGCCAGAGAGTAGACGAGCTCCACGCCTCGGAGGATGAGGGTTTTATCATCGTGATACGTGAACGGCCTGGAAACGCACAGAGCTAAGATCGCTTAGCCACCCAGTGGAGGGATTCTTGCATCGGACCAGATGAGGAGAGATTTACGAGGGAGCACATGCGATGCTCAGATTCTTCGTCCCATATCGGGATCTTTCGCCAACCGATGCTACGAGTCAAGAGCAATAATCTCCCGCGAAGGAGTGAAGCATTCTTTCCATGTCGAATCCACGAGGATTATTCCATTCCGGGGGGGAAGATCTGGAAAACGGTCCCCTAACGAATCTCTCAGGTAGTCAAATCTAGTACTTTCGTGAGTCATGTCGGTATGATTTCGAAGGATATCGCGACAGGGTAGACCTCATACTCGATGTAATGCGACAGGAAGAAGCAAGCCGACGTGGGTGTCGTCTTCGTCCTCTCCGAGTCCCTCGGATCGTGTTCGTAGTGATTGATGGAAGAATCAAGCTCGGTCAGCGAGGCCCCAGCGGGTTTTTGGCCACTTTTGACGTGCATGAAACCTTTACGGGCACGGAGCAGTGGCGGACCCAGGGGGGGGGGTCCTTACAAAAGTTTTCGATCCCTCTATCCCCCCCCTTCCGCCTCCCGAGGAAATTCTGAATCCGCCACTGGCAGGGAGTTAGAGCAAGCTCGAGAGAGTACGAGAAAGGTCATAGGCAAAAGCCGCAAAAACCGAGCTATGGTCAAAAGACCTGAGGAGCAAACTGAGATCAGCGCCTTTCTCGCGGGGGGTTAAGAATTTCCTGAATGGGCCGAGGGTCTCAGCGCCAGAAGAAGCTCCCGCAGTCAAGGCAACGATACATATATGAATCTACGGAGCTGTACTATTTGTTTATCTCACATGCTCAAAAATTCGCCGCTCAAACACAACCTAGTCAAGAGCGAGCTCAATACGATTCCTATTCTCGATTTTAAGTTCGATTATGATGCGGCCTTCCCTTCTTCCAGTAACCCATTGAATTTAGGACAATGTTTGTAAAATGAGTGAGGGACCTCCCGTTGTGTGGTCGGAGGAATGGACGAGCGCGGATGAGACAAACTTCGACTTGACCTTTGGCGTGGGCCAATTTATACGTACAGGTGTACACCTGAATTACAAACTATATCAGGCTCATAAGGGGCTGATGCGAAGCACCGAACCGAGTACGCGGCACTCGGTGGGGCACTCACGAGATTTGCGACGCGGCCCACCGCTCTGATGACGACGTCTTGGGTGGGCCGCTCCCGCGATTCCCGACGAGGGGGCCACACCTCTGCAAGGACGATTCTGGGCAGGACAGAAGAAGAGGAGAAGCCTATGGATTGAATTTCATTGAAGTTCCATTTATTCAGCGCCAATGAGTTTGTGTCATCCTCACATCTTTGCATTGAACCAAAGCAGCTCACAGCCGTCCGAGATGGCGGCGATCAATTCGAAGGACAACCGTGACTCAGTCATTGATCGTAAGTTGGAGATGAAATTCTTCATCTCGTCCACGAACGGTGCCTCGCCAGCTTGACAAAGCGCCTGGGCACTCGACGTCTCCGGTTCATTGAAGAAGCACAGCCAGACATTCATACCATAATAGAACAGTTCGGTCTCGACGATGTCGGGCAAAGTGAGCTCGAGCTTAGTCGAATCTAAGGATGTCACCACGTAGTGCATGCCCTCATGGTCGAAGCCCGCTGAATTTTCAGTGTTTGACGTTTCGCAGATATTCAACAAGTAGTGTTCCAGTTTGAACGTGGACACCAGCACTGCCTTCTGACGGCGGAGGATGAGGCGTTCGGCAAGCTTCTTGCCCAGGTGCCGCCATTTTCCGGCGGGATCGACCTGCTCATCATTACCGAGTACATCGATGCAGTGGAGGCCCGGTCTGAGCTCCTCGCATCGGAAACCCTCCACCAATATTCTCTCATCAGCTGACTGCGCCATTTCCTTTTGCTGATGGGATGGAAGAACGAATCAGAGAATGGGAACAACCAGAAGAAGGGCGACATAGGAGTCGTGACAGCGAGGACTCCCCACCTGACATGCAAGAAGGCAGCCAATCGAGATGGCGTACCTAGCGCTTTTCTGATGGAACGGGAGATCGATCTCCGCGCATCGAGATGCCCTCCGGATCGAACGGATGGTGGATGGCGGGAACAGTAGTCGCTAAGTGGCACTCCGAAGACGACGGCAACAGTTTGTTTACACGTTGGATGCATTCCGTTGCTTTTGACGTGATCGGGCGCTTGCTCGAGTCATTCAGTGGTCGGGAATTTTCGGGGCTCGTAGGAGCCGATAGGCTGTCCCTGGAAAGCCGAAAGGAAGGCTCAAGTGTCATGGGCGGACACCGACCCCCTGTGGAACAGCACGCTCCCCAATCACGAGCAAGAGCTGCCCGGCTGCCGGACCTGTCTGCTGCCGGATCCGCTGCTCCAAGGAGGTAGTCCTCCGGATGGCTCTCGACACGCTGAAAAGGAATTTCTGTCTCGAGGGAGGGAGCGAGGGCCTTGACAGAGCGCTACATACGTGGATCCCCGTCGGAGGAGTCATCGAGGTATCAAGCTGTTGAGGGTGAAGTTGTGTGTTCTCCACGGGTCTCGTTGCTGATGGTCGTCGAATTACTGAGATAACAGATAACACTCGGCCATTCGCTAACCCCGAGTCTTATCGCGGGAATATTTTCATCGCGTGGCGCGGTTACTCACACCGAATGGCATTATTCGAATTAAATTCTCGCCCAGATTCCACAGCTCGGGTTCCGGAGCGATTCAACTCCCTACGCAAAGCTCGCCTCCCCACCTGGGGGAATTCGGAAGAGTTTTGGCCACAGGGATCGGGTGCCCGATCAGGTCAGGGTGATTTCCGCTCCGAGCGCATCGGTTTGCGAATTCTTGCTGCCATGAGCCGACGGGAGTATTTCGGGATGTTCCGATTAGATCATCGCTGGGGTTCTGTTCGAAGTGAACGCAGGACTTCTCACAGCCGTCGCGCATTCGGCAAAGTTCCGAGAGGCTTTTGCTTTTCTTGTGAGTCCTACAGCTTGGGATCGAGTCCTCGACGGAGTTCAGGGAGAGCTACTTTACAGGATAGCTCTCTCTTGCCGAGGAGCGTCAGCCGCGAGAGTACATAGGTGTGTACATGTATGTGCTTTGCGCGGACATACGTTGCTCGTCGAACCTTGGAGTGGGACCTCGTCCTCATTCCGGCCGCCAGCGCCGGTCCGCCCCTCCCTTCAGGATGATTCAGACGCCTAACGGATCCCTCGCCACCATGGTGAGTCATCGCTCACAGCCCCGATCTTCCCTCGGATGCTCGCCGTTGACCCGAACGGTCGGAGTTGGATCTCTGCACGGATTTACAGGGGTCGTCCCTATAGACATATATGTATATATCGGATGAGCAAATCGGACAGAGAATTCCACATCGATCAGACAATCGGAATAGTCCGGAACTCCAACTCCGGGAGGAATTTGATGATACTCCGATGCTGGAAATGTCTATCCACTGAGAAATTCGAGAATGTTGCAAATGTTGCATTCCATTGAAACACATGGAGCCTGTTCGAGAAGTTTGATGCTGGAAATTCTAGCTAGCCCTGAGGAATCGGAAATCCATCGGATCCATGCAATGAATCACCGGCGGGGAAACTCTTCGACCTCTCTGCTCAGAGACCCCACCCAATGAGCGGGAGGGTGGGAGCATCAAAGAAGAATGATGGTCCGTCGAGTAAAGACCGCCTCTCGATCTTGACATCCTATTCTCGCAAAAGCATCCTCTAATCGAGGTTCCATCTTCGCTTCTGGAGGAAAAGGAAACCCGCTCGGTGGAAAATAGAATTCGTCCTGCCCCGCCGCATTATTCGGAAGCAGAACTCAATCAACTCGAGTTTTCGACAGCTATCGCAGGAGCGATCGACAGCCATTTGTTCCGGGAACGGACCCTTTTATCAAAGACACAGTCTCGACGGGACGGCTCCTTGTTTTGGGCGACCAATGTACATATGTATGTGTTTAGAGAAAGCCTGCCTCTCCGAGACCGAGGCTCAGTTCAGACCGTAGACACCGGTTGCTCGACCTGGTGCGCGAATAGGGTTCGGGCCGCGGTGGCTTATACGCAGCAGCAGCAGCTGACAGGAGATTCGGTTAGTCTCGGGGAGCAACAAATGCGTACAACGGTCATGAATCGAGAGACACTCTCTGTGTTTGAATCCCAACATCGATGATGACTCAGAGCCAAGTTTCCATGGAGATCCGGCCTCCAAGCGCACCGATGGTTGTGGTCGCCGCAGTTGATTACTATGTTTCAAACATTCGCCGTCCACATGGTCGAGCCGCTGGCTCTTCCGACCGTTTCCATCCCAGCCATATCATTTATGTTGAATAATCCCCTCTCTGGCTGGGACGATGAGTAAATAAATAAATAAAAGACTCGAGGATCTTAGTAACACTACCTGTTTTATTGAAGGGACTGCGCGCGCGACCGTCATTTTGGTTGTCATTGGATTCGTCTCGAGATTTCTTTATTTTCGAAGTCGATAGTCTTAGCGGAGAGAATGACGATACGAGTATCGTCAATTATGGACATCCTAATTATTCTAATTATGATTATAATTATCGTAGTAGTTGTTTCGGATTCGAATGGGTGGATTCTGGTATGCTTTCGTTGTAGGCTGTTGCTTTTGTTTATTTGGTAGTAGGAGGAGAAGTTGTAGTAGTAGTCGACGGAAACTTAAAATGTACAGGCTTTGAGGATGGTTCTTTCGAACGACACCTTCTAAAGACTTAATTCGCCACAATCTACTCGAGGATATTAACGCGACATTCCGACAGTGCGCGTGTCTTGCGTATCAGCAGGTAAGAGATTCATAGCTCGAATACTGCTTTCACATCATGAATGACTTCTCCGCCTTGGACAATGAAAGTAACGGCCATATTACTGTCTACTTCTAGTATCTTTCCCTTTTCTTCGCCTTGGTCATTTCGCTTCGGTGGCTGTTTCTCTCATTGCTTTCTCTTTCTCGTCGGATTTTCCCATGGAAATCAAGCTTCCCTCTCGTCGAAACCTCGTCCCGTCCTCCCTCAGAATAATCGTATCATTGACTGATTCAAAAAACGATAATCCTTCGAGAAGACTTTTTGGATTGAATTTCTCTCGCGGCAGGCGACCCCGCCATCTCTCACTCACGTTCGGATATCGAGTCGACTTTCTTCAATCATGTGACCTGAGTTCGGTTTTCTTATTGTCAGAATGCTAAAAAGGAGGCTCCTGTCGAGCGTTCCGCCAGATCGGGATGAGTTTGGCGTTCGACAACAGGAAAGTTAAGATTGGTTTAGCATTTATTCTTCCTGAACGTCTTCCTCCTCCTCGAACTCGCCATCGTCATCGGCGGTGGCCTCTTGGTACTGCTGGTACTCGGAAACGAGATCGTTCATGTTGGATTCAGCCTCGGTGAACTCCATCTCGTCCATACCTTCGCCGGTGTACCTGTAATCGAAGATCTCGTTCAATCGTGGGTTCATGAACCGATCGGAAGCCTCTACAGAGTGTCCCGGAGCCCCTACTCCTCATCCAACTGCAGCCGGGGCACGTCGAACACCAAGAGCGAGGAACCGAGTCCGAACCTCGACTACCTTACTCACCAATGCAAGAAAGCCTTCCTACGGAACATGGCAGTGAATTGCTCGGAGATTCTCTTGAAAAGCTCTTGGATGGCGGTCGAGTTCCCGATGAATGTGGCAGCCATTTTCAATCCACGGGGTGGAATGTCGCAGACGGCGGTCTTCACGTTGTTGGGAATCCATTCGACGAAGTACGAGGAGTTCTTGTTCTGGACGTTGAGCATCTGCTCGTCGACCTCCTTCATCGACATGCGACCTCTGAAGATTGCGGCCACGGTCAAGTATCGTCCGTGACGGGGATCACAAGCGGCCATCATGTTCTTGGCATCGAACATTTGCTGAGTGAGCTCGGGCACCGAGAGCGCTCGGTACTGCTGAGAGCCGCGGGACGTCAGCGGGGCGAAGCCGGGCATGAAGAAGTGGAGACGCGGGAAGGGAACCATGTTCACCGCGAGTTTACGGAGATCGGCGTTCAGCTGACCGGGGAATCGGAGACAGGTCGTCACACCGGACATCGTGGCGGAGACGAGATGGTTCAGATCTCCGTATGTTGGCGTTGTGAGCTTCAGCGTTCTGAAGCAAATGTCGTAGAGAGCCTCGTTGTCGATGCAGAAGGTCTCATCGGTGTTCTCGACGAGCTGATGCACCGACAAAGTGGCGTTATAGGGTTCGACGACAGTGTCCGATACCTTTGGCGAGGGCACAACCGAGAAGGTGTTCATGATCCGGTCGGGATATTCCTCACGGATTTTCGAAATCAAAAGGGTCCCCATACCGGAACCGGTACCACCACCGAGCGAGTGGGTCAGCTGGAAGCCTTGCAGGCAATCGCAAGACTCAGCCTCTTTACGAACGACGTCTAACACGGAGTCGACGAGTTCGGCCCCTTCGGTGTAATGTCCCTTGGCCCAGTTGTTACCGGCACCGCTCTGTCCGAAGACGAAGTTGTCAGGCCTGAAAAGTTGGCCGAAAGGTCCGGACCTCACGGAGTCCATGGTTCCCGGCTCCAGATCGACGAGGATTGCTCTCGGGACGTATTTGCCCCCGGTGGCTTCATTGTAGTAGACGTTGATGCGCTCGAGCTGGAGATCCGAGTCGCCATGGTAAGCTCCGGTCGGATCGATGCCGTGTTCGTCGGAGATGACCTCCCAGAACTGAAAGAGAGGAACGCTTGTTACTTGGAAGAATTATTCGGGCTGACGGCGACGATTGAATGAACGACGTGGTCAAAACGCGAGCCGGCTTGACGGTCGCTCCGAATCAATAACCACGTGGCTATTCCTCCTTCAGCGCGGTAGTTAAAGCGCCGCATCCACCGTTAGCGACGCCGCCGCCGCCGACGACGTCAATGCACTACGGCAACGGCAGCGCCACGGTTACGCTAGTGGCATCGGCAGGCGGTCGGTCTTCGGACTTCTGCAACCACCACCGCTCGTCTGGATACCAGTAGTCAGCTAGCTATCCATCTAGCCAGATTCAAGCCAACGGAGCGCACCGCATTCAACCCCGTTCGGCTGGCTTTGTCGACAGAAAAGAGCCAACCGAAAGACAGACGAGCAAGCGCTCCGCGGAAGAAAGCGCATCAGCCACTCGAGAAACTTCGTCAGCTATCTTTTTACTTGAGCTGACCCAGTCATAGGGTTGCTATTCCAAACCAGCAAGCCGACCGACCGACCAGCCGACCCTGCGACCGACCATCTCATGAATCAGTTACCCGCTTCTTCGTCCACCTACAACGAGCACGATCTCACGACTACAGGAACGTCCCCTAGCCGTCGGCGTGGCGACGCTCGTCGTGGAGAGGGTGGGAGGGTTTTCCAGTGTTCAGCTTCAGGAGCAGATATCAGTTCTGGGAGCTGATCGATTACGTTCGAAACTCCAACTCAGCATCTGTCCAGGGGAACACCAAAATTTCGTGCGAGACAAAGTAGGCATCATACGTTTCACTCAACCGTCCGATCGACGTTCATAGGGCTGCGATCAGCGGATTTGCTTTCGTGCTCGTCAGATCACGAGACTCGAATTCGCACCTCGGAAACGATTTCTTGTCGCGATCGAAAGAGCCGGCACAGCCATCGACGGCGCCGAAGCAGCCATCGCCAGAACCAAAAGTTTGATGAATCTAGGAGCCGGCGTCGCCGACTTCTCTGACGTCTCTAACAAAAGTTGTTCTATCGAACGCCGCCAACAAAAAATGCCAACAGCTCAGAGGAGAGGAAGAAACGAAGCGACGGACGGATTCGGGAGAAAAAATAACCGAAGAAAATGAAGCGATGAGAATCTCTCGCCAAAAATGACCGAGAAGCGTCCTGAATCCTCTGTTTGACCCCGACGTCAGTGAATTTTATGCTCCATTTGCGGTTCGGGCATCGACGGCAGCTATAGCCAAAAAGAGGGACGAGTCACCAAATCCATCCAGTAGAAATGGTCGCCAATGCAAATTGTTTAGGCACTGCGGCGGCAATGATGGTCAGAGAAAAAAAATCCTTCCACGATTGGCCACGCTCTCATCACCGGACTCCGCGACACGTCCGTTGCGCCTATAGGAGTCAAACGGCGGCCGCAGAGTTCCTCCGATCACAACTCATAACTCCATAAGGCGACATAAGCTGGTCTAGAACACGTTCTTTCTCCACTCATTCGTCGGACCGGTCGTCTCCCTTGTTCCCGTCAGAGGAAGATCATTTGTTGAAAATCATCCCCGCTTTCTCTCAGACTTTTCCGCCGTCTCCCATGGCCTGTCGGTCGATCGCCGATCCGCCGTCTCAGGCTCATGTCTGACTGCTTCAGTGTCCGACTGACAGACGGTTCCTTACTCCAAGAAGCACTACTCCGAGTTCGCTAACCGCACTACCGTTCGCTCATCCCCGCTGTTTCCAATCCCCTCGGAGGAAAAGAAGAGCCACGACGACAAGGATGTATCTATATATAAACTGCTCCTAAATAAGGCGCGTTGGCGCACCTAGGTGAGCGAGCGAACAAGCCGGTGCTCCCGCCATGCCACTGCGACAGAGCAGAGAGGGCAAACCTCTTCTCATCCTGCTGTGCATATTCGTAAGAGAGACAAGGAATTGCGGTCTCGGAAGCCGGCATGCTCGCCACCCTGCCGCTAACTCCGTCCGCTCTGCCGACGAACTCCTCCGGAAGAGTCTAGATGACATCAGACATAGTACCGTCCCCCTATCCGTCCTTCTGATCAACGCTTGACACTTGAACTTCATAGTTATTCAGAGGCACGGAAATCGACACGTTCGTATTGGAGGCGGTCTGGACGCAGCGGCAGAGAGCTAAGCGACCAGGCATCGAGTACCATGCTTCCCCGTTCCCGGCTCTCGACCGGCTTGGCATAAGTGACATCACTTCGGGCCGAAAACACCCGAGACAGAGCTCGATGAATCACCAAGGAAGAGTTCCGTCGGTTAACAAAAGAGGAATGGGAAGTGAGAGCCCCAACTTCGCCGAACCATCAGTCGGAGCGCGCGGAGAACCACAACAGAGAATTTTTTGATGAAAATTCCTCAACTCCCACGCCAGACCAAACTCTCCGGAACGTTCTCTTCTCTGCCGAAAAAACTGAGGTCAGCCAACGCAATATATCAACACCCCACGGGAAGGTTGGAATTCGCTTGTCCCTCGGGCTGGGTTAGGTAGCGGCGCTCGAAGACGATCGGAGTCGAAGAAAATGAAGTCTATGGGGGACTACTGATCGAGAGATATGAGCAGGAGCTCTGCTGCTTCATCGCTATCATGAGTCGAATGTTCTCGCTAGCAGCCCGAGCCATGCATCGAACGCAACGTATTCGACCCACCAGGAGACCCCCGAAGCGTACGGCGATTTACAGAGTGTCGTTATGAAGACAACATGACAGACGGCTCCAAGAGCTTGGCACTCTGCTAGCGCAGAAAACTGCGCATCCGTAGAGCTTAGCGGTCCATCAGAACTTCTTACTCCGGAAAATTGCGAGACAGCGATCAGCGACCGCACTGGTGACCGAAGGAGAAAATTCCCCGTTTTCCCCCTTGATATCCACGGATCCGATCAACTCTGCTAGCCGTCAAGCCAAACACCTTTTGCGAGAAAGTCACTTTAATAGTTCAACGAACCAAAGACGGATTGATGACCCGTCGATCATGATTCCTACCCTAGCTCGGAGCTCCGTAGCGAGGTTTTCTGTCTTCGCTCATTTCGGTACGAAGTTTCGAGAAGCCTCGGCTCGCACATGGTCTTCGAACGATACGGCATGCGAACCAGGTCTCGAGTCATAGCAGCTCGAGTCTTTCTTCCGATTGCAGCACACGCTGACCGTCGCTTGAAATCATGACCCCATCTTCCGGATCAGCACGAAAACTCCACTCTGATTCGTAAAGCATGTGACAAGCCAGGCAAGTTCGATTTTGATCCGAAAGCCGGCCGGCAACGGTCGATTTCGAATTTCGCGCCGCTCATTCCGACGCGGGAAAATAATCACCGAGTCTCTTATCTCGAACTGCAACGGCTTTCGGAAGCGGCAGCTACTTCGGCCGTCCGAGCCGAAAAACGAGCAACTTACAGGGATCACTACCGATCAAGCGCGTGGGGTCAGCGGCCAAGTGCGGACAAGTCGAGTTTGAACCCGCCCGTGCGACACAGCATGCTAGCACCCGCCACACCCAGAGCGATTTATCCGAAAAGAATGCAGGAAACCACCGAATTCCGCCGCGAATTTTCCACTCAGCACTCGAAGGATGAGAACTCCGGTCGACTTATCACTTCTCGAAGAGATTTCCACAGGTCGAGCGCGTAGTTCTCGCGGAAGCAATAACGAGGTACGTTGACCGGTCGGCGATTTGTATGTTTGCGCACGAAACGGCTCGCTCCCGACAAAAGTACGACAATGATGACATTATTCCGAACGCTGCAGTTACGATAAACTCACCTTAGCTCCGATCTGGTTACCGCACTGCCCGGTTTGAATATGAACGATTTCACGCATCGTGCTTGCTCAGCCGACGATTTGGAAAGTCTCTCGGTATATGTGAATGCCGCACTTGCTTGTGCCGCCGTAGACCCTGACGAAGAAGCGAAACGAGTGAGATCTCGTCAGGCAACGTCCGATTGGCCCGTGTGAGGGAAATTTTTCGGGAGGGAGTGCAGCGGAATGAGGACGCTCCGAGCTCTGGCCAACAGTGTGCATGCCAGCGCCACATGGTGCCTCGCTTTGAAATTTTCGTCTAACGAGGAATTCCAGTCTCTCGGAATATCAAACGATATAGAGCAGTATCTCCCATTTGTTGAATTAAGCTCCGATCAACGATGGAGATCAATGTTTCGCTGTCTACGAACAATATTCCCCCGGACTCGCCAGCTGGAGTTCAACAGGTCGCTCGTGGAGAGGTTCGAGAACGCGAGTTGCGAGGGAAGATCTCCGTAGTGAAGTCTGATACGATTTTTCGATGAAGAATCGATTTTCCCTCGGCTCTGAAGTACCTACGTCGCACACGAGAGGCGATCGAATGAGTCGTGATCGATGAAAATAAGGTTCGGTCGACACGCGGTTGACAGCCGTCACAGACCCACCCGTGGCACCGTGTTTCGAACAGCGAGCAACGGAGTGAGGGCCCGGCGCCAAATTCAAATGAATTCGACACCGGCGCCCCCTGGAGAAGCGATGCGAAGTTTTTCCCGTGGCGGCGGTCTCGGGGCGTTCGCTCGCTTGGTCCATCGGAACGCGACGACGTTGGTGGCTTAGCCGGCCGCCCGAACAACCGGCCGACCGGCTGACCGAACCTTGCTCACATCAATGCTGTACCTTGACTTGAGAGCCACTCGGCAGATTTCCGAGCAGGGAGCCATTCTAGCCGACGACCAGATCCAGGCAGAGTGCTCACGAAGCGGGAGTTCGACGTCGCGGCGTCTTCGTCGACAATGCTAATGACTGACCAACTAGGCGCGAATCCCACGTCCGCTATTCCACTCTATCGATGGAAAGAGTATGCGGGAAACCTCCGGTGTTCTCAGAATCGTCAGATAATATGCACCTGATCATCTCGGAGCCCGGGGCCCGAGCTGAGTCGTTACCCCACCCGACCTAGGGCTGAAGGTTTCCGCGCATCAGAGACTGCGACACAATTTCTGTGATGGCTCTCGCCGCTCGAACCGGAGCCGCGTCGAGAACGGAGGATCGATCCCCGGAAACAGGTCGTCTCAGTGCAGAGAATACCGGATTCCGACTGAGCGAGAACGAATCTTCCTCGGGGGACAAAGGTGACGTGTGAAGATGGGGGATCTGCAACGGATTCTGGCGGATCGCGCATGGTGGAATTCCCGGCCGGCTGTATGACGATTCTCTCAAATGTCGAGTGATTCAAAGTCACATTCGTCTCCTTCTGAGTGATCGTGAGCCGACAGCGAGCGATACGACTGGTGCCGTTCTCCAAATGAGCATCAGACAATGTAATCTGACCGAGGCAAAGTCATAGATGAGAAAAACTCGTTGCGGCTCCAATAGGAGGTAATAGACGAGCTCACAAAATTCGAAGCGCCGCCGGGAGCCATCGGAGAAACTTGTAGCGGGGAGAAGATGACGAGCGAAGTGGCTTAGAATTCCTTCTCCGTGGGATGTAGGTCCGCCAGGAATTCGCTTGGCCAAGGGAATATCCTGCGTGGAAGTCGCCATACTTCGTCCTCGTCCACTTGACGTGTCGCTAATTAACATGATAGCATATTGTCCGCTCACCACCGAGCCCGTGGACGCAGTCGTCGATCACCGAGAGCGCGGCTGATTGTGAGAATATTTTTCGAAAATGGAGAACATGACTCCGTTGCGATCTTCTGTTTCCCTCGACACAGAACCATCCGCGACCATTTTTCATTGGTTCGTCATTCTCTTATGGATATTCGAGTTCGGGGTTTTCGACGCTTGAATCGGATGCGATTTCTGTGTTACGCTGATGCTTTGTTCCGAATGTATTCCACCCGCCGTTTGATTCGGCCCGACGTGGTCGTAGGAAGCGGATCGTGGAAACATGCACCGCCAACACCACAAACAGCATGACCACGAAGTCTTTCCACAGAAGTGATTTAAATCGTTTTCAAAAGTTTTTTTTTGTTTAGCTCGTGAAACCCGTCTGTCTGAACTGCATCGCATTCTGTGGTCAGTGGCTCCGGAGTCGAACAGAGACAATTCGCTTTCAAAAGGAACCTCCTCGGTCAAGCAAAGCATTCTGAGTGACTTCTAATGAGTTCTCAGAATCGCCACGTGGAGGTCTGATTGATGAAACTTCACCTGCTCAACACCTCAGGCGCATAGGGGTAACACTCCGGTGTTCCCATTCAAATATTTCCTTGGAGACATTCGGAGATCTGTTGTGTGGGAGATGTACGAATTCATATTCGGTATCGCCGCTGAAGAGTTGACCGAAGACTGGCTTGTACAAATATTATCAACGGGGTAGCCCGCGAAACAATACGTCCTGAGAATATGCTTCAGAAAAATCGGCTCCTCTATTTGTTCCCTCGATGAAGAATCGTGAAACGATTCATGCCGAATATGGTCCGAGAAGGAATCCTACTCTCCCTGTATCTTTGTTCGACGCTCCTCAGCCGAGTGGGGACGTCAGCGCCGTTCTCATTTTTCTAGCCGTTGGATGCTCTCTGCTTGAGAGCCTCCGGAAATGTAGAAACATTCCCCCGAGGAAAGACCCCTGAAGCCTCGGCTTCCATGCTTAGTGCCGCCGGCAGAAATCTTCTCTCCCGTGAGACCACCAGATACTTCTGCTCTTTCCCGAAGACCGACGGAATTCATTTACGTGAATGACGCGAGAGACCTGAAAGCCCCATTCTCCTGATCTTCCTGAATGCGTCACCGAATTCGGACTTGAACTAGCTTTCGCGAGCAGCATTCCATTATTCTCCCGTGCGGCATCAGAATGATTGGGCTATCGATGGCGAGTGTCGTTGTTATGACATCTCTCGCGGAGCTCGCCAGAGGTTTTCCAAACTCTTCCTTTCTCCAGGGAGGCCGCAGCGCTCGATTCAGTCGTTTAGCCCATAGCTCTACTCGGAGCAGAGGCTCGCTGGAAAGTTACCCAGCCGGTCTCGTCCCGTCCCAATCCTCAGATGGTCTCCGCTCCGCCAGTAGTGCGGTGGTAGTGCGCCCGCCGGCATCGCGCTGTTGGGGGCCCTGGGCTGCTCTGTGAATAAACAATAAATGGAACCCGAGTGGGCGAAGACTGACAGGGGAGACGAGACATGATGACAACATGCATTGAAAGAGATCCGTTTTCCACGAAAAGCTACCATTCGGTTGGAACATATACATACATGCACGGAAAGCTGAACGGACTTTCGGGAGAACGCGCACCTTGGTTGAGAGGAAGTCGACTGACTTCTCGACCAGCGCAGGAAGTCTGTCTAGGAATCAACTGCTCGAATCTTCAAGACCCAAGAGGAGGCAGCAGCTCCAGAAAATTTTCGTACGTCCCCGAAATCATCGATTCGGTCTGCAGGCGCTGAGGGATAACCAGCGTCTGATGCGAGCGAGGCAGTCGGATGACGTGTATGCTAAGTGTGACGTTGACTCACAACTGAGATCGAAGCTGTCAACCCAAAAAATGATCGGCGGACCCTCACACAAACGATTCCGCGGAGCGACGGATCACCTGGCTGAGCAGGAGTGACGGAGGATTTTTTGAAGGAGGGAACGTCCGCTAAAGTCCTCCGAGCTCCTCTCTTCGAAATTAGTCGATGATCCGCAGAGTTCCCGATACCCTCGATCGAGTGCGTAATGGGAGCGATTCCCACCGCCAGTGAAATCCGTCACCCATTGCTCCGTAATCTCTGCATGCGCTGCAGGAAGTTATTGTACAGAATTTTCGAAACATTCGATTTTCTCGCCTCCTCCAGTCCCACACGGGGAGGGGCCCGGGGGCTCGGATACCGGGTTTCGGACGTCCTCGCCCGGATGGGACGAGGATGGGATCACGAACGGCCGGAGGGTTTCAAACGGGATGGAAGTGGGATTGATGAATCTTGAGAATTCAGCCTTCTGAACGGCTCGGATCTCGCGACGATCGAAGTTTTTCGACGTTCTTTTCTGCGACGTTCCGAAGAATCGTCGAACAGCGTCTGGAGCGTTCTATGTTTCTACTTCGCCGCTGTCTGTCACATTGTTCGCGTTTCGCCTTCGACCGACTACTCACATACATACACAGACTGTTAGAAAGGTCGCAAGTGACAGTCTCTGCACTCGGCTGTCCATCGGCGTAGCGGACGTATAATATTTCCCTAGTCTTCTCGTTTATATAGAGTTCGAGCGTCCAAGAACAGTGCTCGTCGCGAAAATACTGTCGTCGTTGACATGGAGAGTCGGAGAGCACCACGGGATGAATATACATGCTCGGCACCCGCGTAAAATTGTACTCTCGGTTTCTTCGGTGTGAGGGACCACTCGGGAAGGGACAAACCTAATCGCCTGGTCGCCGCAACTGCCGCTCTGAGAAGCGCGAGCGGACGCCGGAGTCTTTGAGCGCCGCATTAGTGGAATAGGGCCTCTAAGACGATAGACATCGTTAATCTGTCATACGGAGCTGCCAAAAGCATTTAGAAACAGTCTCCGAATGCGGGGAAGGTTCCGGACCGATGCTGCTGGACGGAGAGCGGGCGAGCCGAGCAACAGGGTACTCCAGCTCTCAGTCAGTCGATATTCCAATCGCTGGGATTCCGATGTGACGGAGAAATTCTAAGATTCGTCCGTCCTTTTCTGTTTTTTTCTCGATTAGCTCTGCGAAGAGCTTCACGGTGTTTGGTCGAATTTCGTGTCCAATCGCATCCGAGGTGGTCGAATCTCTCAATGCGGAATCGAGCCAAAAAAAACATACGCGCAAACGTCTGTCCGGAACGACAGAAAAAAAGTGGTCGACGCCCGATAGACGTCTTCGTGAAATTTCTTCGTCTTCCTGCTTCTCGGAATTCCCCCGAAGTCTCCCGCTCCTAGCTGGCCGTGGATCCACTTATCCATTCACAAATGGTGAACACATTGTCTGTCATCCGGAGTGGGATTGCTCCCAGCTAGCGGTTCCCTGTAAAAGTGA